AGAATAACGTTTGCAGATTTCACACTTTTATAGTACTTTGAGCACTTTGAAACCTTTTTAACATCCCAAAAGTGACATCCACCATGACCTATGTTGAGGACAGAGCCTTGCTGGACTGTCATTCTCCAACATTCCTTGGTCTTCCTAGTGGAGACAACACAGAGCAATAATAGAAATATATTATGTCTATATTAAATCAGCCATTTAAGTCCATTGTAAACTATCTTTTTGAATTAGCTAACATAGCATGTCCGCAACCACAACAATGGCACAATTGTGACAGTTTATTCTGTGAAACACTTTGAGATGTCTCAAAGACATGATAAGGTGCAAATGCAAGGATTATTATTATTATTGTATATACAGTGGGAGAAACAAAATAACCTTATTATTGTCCCTACATACAATGACTCATTTGTTTGCAATTGCAAGTCTACCTGCAGGACCGTCCAAGAGATGGAAGTCATGGAAGTACCAAAAATAAAATGACTTTTAACTCTTTCAGCAAAATTGAGCAGTGCCAGAGAGCCAGCCAGAAAGAGACACGTGCAGCTGTGCTCATGCAAGTTCGGAAACTCTGTGGAGATATGATCCGATAGAAGGAGGGTGCTCTCCAGCTGCTTCATGACTTTTCTGCTGCCCATAGAGCCAATGAGGCAATTAGTAGAAATATTACTTGCAAATCTCTGAGTAATTTTTTTAAAAAAGAGTTGAGCATTACCTTAGGTACAAACAATTATAAGAGGTGGTTTCAAACTCCTGCAGTGTGATAGATACCACACTTTTAGCACAACGCAGGAAATATAGTGCTGCAACAGTGTCACGGTTCACAGGGCAAAATTAAACCCAAACAGCTGTGCAGTCCTTTGTCATGGAGGAGCAAAAGAAGAAATTGCACATCACAGTGTGTTTGTGTTAATTGTCTTATTCATTTAATAAGTAAGGCAGCCTATGTACCTCAATCACAGTACTCCTACCGTAACAGTGGGAGGAAAATTGAAAAAGATCCCACGTAATAGACAGGTAACATATGCAGGGTGAATTGTGATGTAAATAACTTACCAAATACTCTACAGGAGATAATAATGCAACCTTTGTTCATTCAATTCCAGAGTAGTATATTGTGAAATAATAAATGACACTTCTCATTCACACTATGAAGCTCTGGCAAGTTTCCCAATACTTTTCTAGTGAAGGGAGCTGTATAAATGCATATTGTTGTTGTTGAGAGGCACCCAACCCATTGCAGCTCTTAATAATATTAATCCTTGTATTTGATAATCCTTGAATTCTACAGGGAGCACAGGTAGGGTAGGGTTAAGAGGGTGACCAAAGGCATGGTTGAAGAGAATGGTATTGAGATATGCCTTGAATGAGGCAAAGGAGGGAGCAAGGTGAAGCGACTGTGTGATGGAATTCCTAAGGGTGGGAGCAGAGAGGCTGAAGGCCCAACCTCCAATGGTGGGGGACATGGAGCAGATCGGAGCCTGCTCAGCAAAGTGAGCAGACAGGTTGATATGGAGTTAGCAGGTCACAGAGATAGGGAGGAGCAAGGCTGTGCAGGGCTTTTAAGGCAAGGATAAGGATTTTGAACTCTATCCTCAGGAGGATAGGGGGACTGTGGAACTGGGCGAGGATGGGAATGATAGCGTCACGGAGCCTGGTGCGGGAGAGGACACAAGCTGCAGAGTTCTGAATGATCTACACCGGAATACCAAAATATAGAATACCAGGAAAACACCATTTTGGGTTATGTGGTTTGGTCCCAATTTGACTGGATATGGAGCAAGGAGTATAAATAGAACATAAGTTAGACTTTATCACCACATTTCAGTGTTGGACTCTTTCTCTCTTTCCTCCATTCCTCCAAACTGAAATAATAGGCTGTATTTCAGAACATCATTTTAAAGGGAATGTTTGAAGACTATATCTGTGGGTTTTTCTTTGTTTACCGGCCTTTTTCTGTCAATGTTTTCATGATATTGTCATAAAAGGTTTTCACTTTGACATGAAAGTTAAGTCAGGATTATTATTGTCTTCTTATGTGAAGAAAGAAGAATTCTTAGGGGAAAAAAAACACTTCGAGGTGCAAATAAATTGCTTGGAAATGGTAAGAAAAAAGCTTTAAAAATGGGAAAAGAAAAAGACCACAGCTGGCAGTAAGTGTACAAACAGACATGTCAAACCACAACCTATTAAACGGAGACCTCTGGATTTAACAGAATAATTTCACTCAAGTATTTGGTTTAAATGCGATTTGCATGAATTGGGTAGGAAGGTTTGCCGACCTGAAAAATGGGGGAAAAAACAGAATTAATACTGAGTGGATTGGAGCTCATACCCTAATGGGCACCATTCAAACATTTCTCTTGCCTTTCAGATGTTACGAAGGATTTGTGAAAAGTACAAAGGACACTCAGAGTGCTGGAAGGAGATCAGTGAGCAGCAGTTTGTGAACTCTACCTACACCTCATCAAACATTCTAACATTGTGTGTTTGGAAGTGAAATGAAAGAAGCTCTATTTTTCTGCTATAATGTTCTTTGCTGCTCAAAGCTGAATCCTTTTTTTTTGTAACCAAAGCCCGGGATTATATTTCTTGAACCTAGAGTAAAATGGGAGCAATGCTTCCTTAAAAAAAAACTTTGCCCACCCAGTATTTGTTCGCACATGCACAGGTTTGTGAGGGTTAGCTTTGCATCCAAGTACCAGACATGGAAGAGCACTGAGGAGGGGGCTGCCTGTCAAGAAACAGGAAGGTACGAGAGTAGTCAGTAGCCATATTTTTCTACTTCCAGATTCACAACCCATCGTATAGCTGTAAACAATACAGCTTCACAAAGTCTCGAGAGAAAGGGGGATTTGATTCATATGCAAATATAAGACAATCTGTTTTCTATATTAAGAACAGAATGGCAGCAAAAGAAGATTTGCTTCTTTGTTGTTCTGTGATGGAATGCAATACATCAGAGATATCCCTTTCCCTGCCCACCTGAATGTAAGGTTATGAGTGAGGAGGCTTATGTTTGAAGCATCCATTTCCCTGGATGTTGAAACATAACGCAAAATAATATGTTTTCCTGGTACTTTGGGAAGCCTCCAACTAATTCTGTATATTAGCTTGATTCTGAATACATGATTCATCCTTGTATATAGGAATAGAAGGAGCAGCCATTTAGCCCATTGAGCCTGGACCATCGGTTTAATAGATAACAATTTGTTTTAATTCTATTTTCCTACCTGTTCTCTATTTCCTTTAATACCCTTATTTTTCAAGTTTCCATTGAATTCCCTTTTAAACTCAATTGATTTGGCCTCTGTGACCTTCTAGGGAATACAAGATGTATTTTGTGTAAGAACATTTAATTCTGGACCAAATCCAGGGTTCTTGAACCAGAGGAAATGCAAGTGAGAGACTCACATGTGTTCAGTTTTCAAAAGTTCATGGACGGCGAATGAAAATTATACATCAAGCTAAAGCATTCTGTCTTCAAGGATAATTTCCCAGTGTTTCACTCTTGCTTGCTATCCCTGTCCAAAGGGTGGAGACAACCTTCAATGCTCTTCAAAGCTCTGTCTGGTAGGAAGGCAATAAAGACACAGGTGGTGGCTGGCAAGAGTTGTGACAGAATGAGATGAATGTAAACCCAGCTATGCTGCAGGCTGCAGACAAGCTTTGATTTCATGAGAATATTTTTTTGACAGACGTCAAGAAAGTGCTCTATTACAGGAGGTATACTCATGTTGAAACTTGGGAGGCCAACTTGACTCGAGGACAGTATTGAAAAGATAACAACAACAACAACAAGATTCCATTTATAAAGCGCCTTTCACGTCAGGAGGACGTCCCAGAGGCTGTATCAACAGAACTGACATCAAGTACTCAGAAGAACATTTCTTAAAGGTTGTAGGATACAACACCACTGCTCACATTGAACCGCCAGCTTCAAAATTAATCCCCGATTCAATATTTGTCCAAAATCCTGCAACAATCTTATATTTTGAAGCAATGGTATTAAGGGTCAGACAAAAAGGATTCCAGGCCCTAGTTTTCCAGAACAAACAGCACAGTTCTATAAACCAACAATAGAGCCAAAAATTGAAATAAGATATGAATTCCGAGTGCATGTGGGTGTTGACTGTGCCAGGTGGAACACATAGGAGCTGTCACACCTCCTCTTCAGGTATTATCTAACTGTTAGTATATGTGCAAGCAACACACAATCCTTTCACCTTTTGTTTCTATGAACTAAATGACTGCTTTCGGTTACGATGAACTTGAGTTAAACAAGCTTTTTTGTAGGGAAAACACCAAATAAAATTAACCCCAATACGAACCTTACATTTTTGAGGATTTTCCTCTCCGATTTCACTCTGCCAAATTCTGTATATTCTGAAATGCTACATCAATAGAATGTTTCATCCAGCAACATTTGACCTGCAAACCCGATACCTACACAGAAGTGTATGTCTGCACGATGAGCTCAAGCTCACGTATGAGGCTTGAACCGAAAATGAACTGACCCAGAGAGGAGAGCATTACCAGAGAAGCCAAGATTGCACACTAAGCAAAGCAGCTGCCTCTCCACAATAAGTATCGTTTAGCAATTGATTAAACAAAATTGGCCAATTCAAACACTTGCAGTTTAAGAGAGTCAGTGCGATTTCAAAATTTGATCTGGAGTAGTTAACAAAATGCAATATTTCCCATCTGCTTGACATCTCGAGACTACAAAAATGCTTGTATTGCCCCCATTGTGTTTCTGATGATTGCTCACAAACCTCTTCCAACTCAAAGATGTATAAAGTGAGAGATGAAGTCGGCTATGGCTGATAATATAATTGAATGATGTATGTAGCATCTGACTTTCTGTTCATCATGTTTTATATAAGCTGATATAATACAGGTTTTATATATTTTCCTCATGAGTTTTCATTTCGCTTGTGTATTATTCTTACTCTATAGACTTAAAGTAATAAATAGTCATTCAAAATTTGAAGTTCAAATCAGCAATTACAATTTTTTATTTCATGTAAAAAAAACCTCAAGCCTGCTTGTCTTACTGGCATAGTTTGGATAGGATTCACAACAAAAGCACTGTATGGTACAGAACACTTTATGCATGCTGACACCTTAAATCTTGTACATTTGCACTTGCAATGAATCAAGACAATATTCTGCATTCCAAGTCTGCCCTAAAACATCAGGTACAGCACAGTGATGCTGGCAACTCAATGCCACTGTTTCAAGTTTCAGTTGATCTATTAGGGCTTTTAAAAAAGATCTACCTGTACGCTTGGATTGCTGAGAGAGTGAAATTTTCAAGCACAACATTGTGCTTCTTATAATTCTAGTACTCTGTGCTTTTACACAAACTATATATGAGAAAGGTTAAGTAGTGAAAGCGAAATATTGTGCCTGCGCAGTTTTTAAGTAGCAATTATTTGTAGATGAAAGCAAGAATGCACTAGATTGGAATTCATCTCTGTGGTTCCGCATTTATGCATCATCTCCTCCACATAGAGACAGCAGTGCCCTCTGGTAATCTCCTTTAGTCTCATCCTAGGCCAGAAAGAAAAGAGGTTACAGTTAACATTGTTGTATCCCAAGTAAGAAAGTTAAATTCATATTATATCAGCTAACAATATCTTTTATTTGGTCAGCTGGATATCCAACATAGAGAAATCCGTTACTGTGCATAAGAATCTCCAAACCAAATATTGAGAGCTCCACACATGGTATCAGTTTAGTATGGAGAGAGCACTCTCTCCCCCCAGAGGGATGCACCCAATTTACGTAATTCCATAGAATTTAGGTGCAATTTGGCAAGATTCAAGGATGGAGGAGTGTGGACTGGGTACTGCTGGAGTTTAACCAGCTAATCCCACATAGCGCACAATTGCAAAGCATTGGTAAACCTCCTGCTGCTTGTTCAGCTGAGTTCTCGCTTTTCAGTTATCTGGAGCCTAACAGGATGACTCTCAAACCCCAGGAATTGGTCTTCTCTTCCAAACTGGCTTGTCCATCACAAACAGTGTCTTGGAATACTGCAGAACTGTCTGGCTAAGGTAACAGACTACCAAAACCACCAGAGAGGAGTAACTTGAATCCAATTTTCTTTGTCAAGTGCGACTTACACTTAAAACACATGCTACCTGCAGTTTAAGACTCAAATATTACTTATTCGTCCAAGACTGTTTATAGCAGACAGATAGCCAGAGACAATATCTACAGCTTAGGTTTGTAATTGGGTGTTGAGGTTGGGGGGAATAATGGTTTCATTTATAGGTCAAAATGATTAGATATTTCATCTATTATTAAATGCAAAAACACAGCAGATAATGAAGACTGTTTGGAGTGACAGACTGATATAAAACAGTTACTTACAGCAATTGCTGAATGAAGAGATTTGCCGTGTTTCTTTTTGAATTCTCTCCTGATTTGGAATAGGTCAACCTCACAACGAGACACCATGATCCGAGTGAGAAGCTTCTCTTTTGTTCCTTTGCCCTAAAATGGCTCAAGTCTGTTAGTCTTCATTCAATGAGATAAGGATACATATTTTGTGCTAAAGTTATAAAATAGTACTCTACCTTCATTGCTTCGATCAGTTTATCAGCAAAATACTTGTGTTTGCTTTGGATGCACTGCACTGTAGGGAGATATGACAATAAGACCATTATCAGAAATATTCCAATTGTAGGACAAATAAATTGATAGAATTGAAATTATGAATTTTTTAAATTAAGAAATCCTTTCCTCAGATATACTGCTTTTGAATTTATAGTCAATCAACCTTGACAATTGGTAATACATTAATTTCCTTTTATGTGCTTTCCACTTGAAATTGATCTCATCCTTCCAGAACCCTATCCTACCATTTCCTATTGCAATAGCAGAGTGTTTCTACAATGAATCCAGCAACCTGGCCCCAACTAGCCTTTCTGCTAACCTGATCCAGTTATTAATTACTCTATGCATAAAGAAATGCTTTCTAATATCTGTACTCAAATTGCTCTATGCAACTCTGAACCTTTGCTTCTTGTGCTGCCTTGGCGTATCTGAAAGTAATCTTTTGGGAATATTTGCTCAATCCCATTTAAAATCTTATATACTAATAAAAAAAGTCAATATCATCAGAAGAGAGATGAAGTATAACAGAACCCACTTACCCAAATCCATCAATCCATCCGACAAATCTCCATTAGCAGATTTTTTGATAGTCTCAGTGATTTCCATGGGGCTGTAGGTCCTGTATCGAGTAAACACTAATCCAGAGGGAAAAAAAACAGTTCAAAATCATTCCAATATAACTAGAATATAAAACAGGCGGATCGAAAAACTTCACGGCTGTTCGGGGACATTGCTGTGCACAATTGGATGCTGCGTTTGCTTACAAAATAGTCACTACACTTTACACCAGTAAATCGTATGAAGTGCTTTGAAACTACCTCCTGTCATGAAAGGCACTACATCAAATGCAAGTATTATTGTTATTAATTGTATAGTAGATCGCGTGTGATCTGTCTTAGAAATAAGCACTTGACTAGTTGGTCATCATGAACTTTATTTGAAGACTGTCACTAAATGTAACAGCAGTTCATATGAAATAACCTACATCGCAAGCACTGTCCACTTCAATAAAGTAATGCACTTGCTCATCTGGTTAATGAGATTTCCCCCTCTCCCCCAACTCCACTGCAATAAACCAATGCAGGAAGAAGACAAAGCCATTGGCTTATGAGTTTAGAATGGGGTTTCTACATTTAGAGAAATAACCACACAAAGAGAAGTCACTTTAGTACAAAAACAAATGCTAAAGTTATGCCTAGGTTTCATTTACACCCATAAAATGCTCAACACAAAACTCCCTGCTAAGTAGAAAGGCTAAAGACTAAATAGGAGACATTCACCAAGGGAGATTCCTTATTACCAATTTCATCCTTTCCTAGCAGCTTTGGAGAACATCATTTACCCACTGAGCACGACAGGAGCACTAATCTGTTAGGTAATCCTTACATGCAAGAATGTTTTGCTGTACATTTTCCACAGCTTTAAATATATTGGAGGATTTTCCAATGTGCCAGCCTATTGTTCCTCAATACTCAATGCATTGTACTAAATGTAAGCTTACTCCAAAGAAATCAAGTACCTACTCTTTCTCTAAGTATTTGGGTTTCATTCGAGACTTAAAAGAGAATGATTGCATCCGTCCTCACAAGCTGAATGTTTATGATGAAATGTAAACATTTTGCATTATTATTTGCCAAATAACACAAGAGTGTTAGTTTGAATGGAGAATGGGCCAGGACTGCTTGCAGAGGTTTTACAGGAGACCACGTTGGCCTCAGCCACTGTCTAACCTTTTTCGAGGTGTGGAGTGCTTCTCTCGGTCAAGATGCTAATCCACCTGGGAAAATCCTTTTCCTTTTTCGTAGTCATAGCATCGTGAAGATCCTGAGGAGAAACAAGCATGTGGAATCTGATCAACAAGCTTTCCTTGTTGTTCCAACTCCCCTCACTCCATTCTTCCCTCTCCTGAAGGAAGACTCATGCTGGGGTACAAATAATATGAATTATGTTGTCAAATCTGGTTCAAACAAATACAAGTCTGTGAATCTCTCAGTCTAAGATTGTTGAGTACTGTACTTCAATAAGTTTTGCTAATATTCGTTTTTTTTCCTTCCATTCATTTTGTTGGTGTAGTCGGTTTTAAGAGCGCTAGCACAGATGCTGAGAGTGACACAAAATAGCACAATGTAAATTGTTTTCCCAGCTGAGTACCTGCAAAGAAGGCACATACCTTTGCATCTCGGTCAATCTGTTCATAGTCTATCACGTTGCTGGGTTCACATCGGATGCCCTGCAGAGAGTAAGATCAACTGCAATGTAATGTATATAGTGGTATAATTTTAGATATAATAATAATCCTTGCATTTGATATAGCGCTTTTCACGTCGGGAGGACATCCCAAAGCGCTTCACAGAACACACTATAAAGTGAATTGACTGTATATTTGTGGGCGAATGCGGCAGCCAATTGCGCACAGCAATGTCCCACAAACAGTCGTAGATTGAAAATGACCAATTTATTAATATTTTTGGTTTTGGAGGGATTATTATTAGGCGTGTGGAGTAAGAAAACTGCCCAAGGTTTCACCCTGCCTGGAATTGAACTCAGATCTCTCGCTTGCAAAGCGAGTGCTCCAACCACTGAGCTACAGGACTCCACTCTGTACCCCAGGCTTATGTTGCAGCAAAGTACATCAGTAATGCCTCATTCGATTGCAATACTATTCTTATGTGCCTGTCACCTTGTTCTAGTTTGTTTTGTCCACAAAATATACAGTTAATTCACTTTACAGTATTTTTGTGAAGCGCTTTGAAACGTGATAAGGTGCTACATCAAATGCAAGGATTATTGTTATTATCATTTTGAACATCTTCGAACATAATTTGAACATTTTCTCTCTTGGCAATGCCTTCTACTACTTAGTGAGGCTGGTCTTCTATTTCCTTGCTTTTACAAAACAACGGGACAGAGACTAGAGTTCAGAAAAGGGCAGATGAACAACAACAACAAAATTACATTTATAGAGGGCCATTCACGTCGGGAGGACGTCCCAAGGCGCTGGACAGTCAGGGGTCAGGACCCTAGCATGGGGGAGGGGTGGGGTAGGGGTGAGGGAAGGCAGTGAGGTGGTAGGGCGACTGAAGGCACAATCGAAGAGGGTCTTGAGACCGGCCTTGAAGGAGGCAAGGGACGAAGTGAGGTGAAGGGAGTGTGGGATGGAGTTCCAGAGTGCGGGGGCAGAGAGGCTGAAAGCCCAGCCACCAATTAAATTGCGAAAGGTGCTATATAAATGTAATAATAACCTCTACATTTGAACTAGCCCTTATCATGTCTTCGAGACATCTCAAAGCGCCTCACAGAATATACTGTAAAGTCAATTGACTGCATATTTGTGGGCGAAACAAGCAGCCAATTGCGCACAAACAGTTGTGGATTGAGTGACCAATTTATTATTTTTTTTTGAAGAAATTATTACCCCAGGAAAAACGATACGCCAATCGACTAACAACCGGGTTTCTACTTACTGCTAGGTAAACGATGACACACACGTGGAGTAAGGAAACTTGCCCAACATTTCGCCCTGCTGGGAATCGAACCCAGGTCTCTCCTTTGTGAGGTGAGTGCTCTAACCACTGAGCTACAGGATTCCACGTATAGATTTTATAACTACATCGAACCCTAATTTGGTATCGTTATAAAATCTATCGTAGAGCATCAATCAAAATGCAAACAGCATTGTTTCACTGTGAAATATGCACTTCTTTGGGTCCAGTCCAACTGAACATTCCTCCTGAACTATTCAGTTTCGACTCATGAATAGCTTTCAGCTTCAGTGTAGCATGGTGCTGTCTAAATGTAGGGCATATTTGGGACCACTCAAACCTTCACCCAGAAGAGTTTTTTCACGCACTACAAGGCATTGGGATGACAGGTAATGAGCACAGTTTCATAGAACATTTACCACTTAGAACGGAGGCTATTTGGCCCATTGTATGTATCCGTTCTGGTACTGGCTCCTCCAATAAGATAACCACTCTCATCCCATTCTGTAGTTTCACAATATTGTTTAACATTAGTTTTTTCTGACAAATTTTAAATGCATTGATGTGTTAGGGGTGAAATGTATCACTCTAAGAGGGAACTCTGCACCATATTCTTTAAAAGATGATGACACACATGTGAATTTACAAAATCGCTGATATATTTGAGAATTTGTTAGAAACAATACCTTTACTAGAGCAAGCAAAAGCTCGCGGTAAAGACCAGAAGTATCTTTCTTAATGGAGTTGTCCAGATCATTCTTGTGAGCTGCACAGATAATGGTTATAAAATTGTAGAGTTTAATGTAAAGACAACGAAACATAATAGCCCGAAATGCAGCATCAATGGTATTCTACACAAAGTTAGAATAAAATTCTTTCAACCTGAAGTCAACTGCTTAAATGGCCTACCTAATCTTTTAACATATCACCTACAGTTGACTGCACATTCTATCCAAACTCTGTGCAAAGATATTTTCTATTCCTTCCCAACCCACCCCCCTCCCCCCAATTTATGATTTTCTTAAAATTATGTCTTCTCATTACTGACTCAACGACTGGTGGAAATTACCTATTACTACTTAAGCAATCGTAGCTCTTCATAATGTTAAAGACCACGATCATGGCAGCGCCATAACTTTCTCAGCTCCACTAAAAAAAATGTCCTTGCTTCTCAAACCTGCCTTCATGGTTGAAACCTCTGGTTACCAAGGTGCGATTCATGACAGAGGCAAAAACTGACTGAGAGATGGAGCCCATCAATTAGTGACACTTCTTTGAATATCCTCACCATTTAGCAGTACTAGTTAAAGTACTAGGAATCAGCCCTCTCCTCTCATGACTTACCTTCCTTGTATGTTTTTGTAATTCTATGAAGTTCCTCATTTGTCCGGGAGCAGAGTATTTCAGTGAGTGTGCTTTCAGTGGTTCCCAACCCCTGTAATCAGAAGCATTTATTTATTGGCATTACATTCTCAAGCAAAACATTGTTCCGCCATTTGCCTACAATAGTTTGCGTAGCAACAAGTTAGGGCTGGTATAACTAGAATCGCTACGCTTGACAGTATTTAACTGTGAATGGCTTAGGGCCATCTCATGTTTATGAGCCCTTTATCAAATGCAAAGATAATTGCGTGAGTCCATCCATATTACTATTCCAGTGCAGTTGTAACTAGTTGCCACTAGATGGCAAAATAAATTTCTCGAGCAATGTATCCGTGACAATCCACTCAGATTCCACTCAAGATAACAGAATGGGATATTTTGAATTAGCAGTGAACGAAACAAGGGTCCTGAAAAACAGTCAACCCAAGTCCTGAACAAATGCTATTCATCATAACAACTGAGCTGAAAGCCAGAATTTTTGAAGTGTATCGTCTCACTTTCTTGATTGAGTAAACGAACTGCCTGGAGTGCTCCTGATCTTATACGGATCAGGAAGGTCCCAGGTTCGTTCCTTGGTCGAGGTTAGCTGATCTTCACCAGGGTAGCAGGGCGGACATTGCAATTGTTCTCAGATTAAAAATCAGGATTCCTGCTCGTGAACACTGTCCTGTGACTACTGCTAGAAATGATATGTATATGCAAATAGTTTGTATGCAAACAAATTAGAGCAGGTATGACTCAATGTATTGTATTTTGCATAATTTACCAATCTCACTTTTGAAATGTAAGAAGTATTTTCCCCCTAATTCTCTCCTGATAATAATAGCACTGGCTCAATCTCGGTTCCAATTCCATGCATTCATGTCTGCCAGTGCCTCATCCAATTTGCCATGCTTCCTCTTTATGAGTGTGGCCAGACTGTGAGTGATGGTTATTTGACTATGGTCACACCACAACCATTTTTTAACGTGTCTTATTTTTAACACAGGTCTGATTTTACAAACCCAAACCTCTGGGCAACGGTGGGGGGAGGGATGGCAGGCAGGTTGGGTGTTGCTGTAAATACAGCATCCTGGAAAATGTCAAAAAGAGGAAATGAATACTTACAAAGACACCGAATAGACACCAAAACACTGCTTAAGTGTGGAATGGATCAAACACTCACCTTCATTGCCTGGTACAGTTCGTAAGCATCATACTTGGCTGGAGTTTTCAAGAGACCTAAAATAACATCTGCCAGGTCACCTTTGAGAGCAACCTTTAGTTTTTCATCCAGTTTCTGCAATAAGAAGGTGTTTCATCATCAACCCTTTACCCTCAGCACGGTGAATCAAATTAGACTTCCAGTTCCTAACAGCAATGGTTTTGGGGCAGGGAGCACATGTTATAAGATATTGGCTACTGCAATGTCCAGTATCTCCCCATCTTTGATGCTCTGATCTATCTAGAGAGTTGCCCAGGCAGAGCTGGTTTCTGTTTTCATACTTCCCCTCCAACGTTTGCCGCCAATTAAAACGAAAACCAAATTTACAATATTAAGTACACAAACCCCAAAAAGTCACTTTAGAAATAGGTTCAGCCTGTCAAGTGTAAAGCTGAAATGCAGAACTAATATTTGCTGCAGGATTTTTTTCTTGCATAAATACCGCAATGGCTGACACACCAATTTCACCTGAAAAGGATTATTCAGCACCATTTACAGTCGGTACATCAAATCCCTCTTGTCTGTTTACCAAAATTCTAAACCTCCCTGTGGTCCTGCACCATTTCGCTGCCACATTTTTCAGGGAATGAAATGGCCACAGTTTTATAAGAAAAAACAGGGTCTTTATGGATAATTTAGCTTCTACTTTGATCGCTGTTGAACAGACTTAATGTTTTTAAAACACTGAAAACTTCAAACCCTGTTGCACTCTCAGCTCACTCAGAAGCATGAAGGCGCAATCACCTTTTTGGTCTTCCTCTCATAAGCGAAGGCAATATCCTGCCGTTGGTCATTGCTCCGTTTTGTCAAAATGTTGATTATGGTTAGCTCATCAACACCTACAAAAACAAGTGTGAAACAGCAGACTCAGAGTAATATCAGGCAGGGCTGGAGCAACATGTCGCTCTGGGAGAGAGAATGAGAAACTATCCTCTGTCACACCTTCACATACAAGGAATATTTCTTCATACGTACAGTTACATTTATTACAGACCCAAAGCGCAGTTAAAAATATTTTGCAGTTATTCTAAAAGTTGATGTTCAGATAAATTCCCAAATCCCTACAACCTGCTTGCAGTGGAATAAATATTCAACCAAAATTGAAGCTTGTTCCCTTTCTATCAATCTCTAAGGCATGTCTTTACCTGCTCAGGCAGGCATTCTGAAGAAAGCTGACTCACCCTACAGCTACTAACCCTAAGCTCTTCAATTTCTTCCTTCTTCTCCTTAGTAACTGCTCGCTATTTCTTTAAATCCCACCTAAAATCCTATCTCTTCAATCCCTCCAATGGTCACCTTCCTTGCCCCGTTCTCTCCTCCCTTACTTGGCATCTGACCCCCATACTTATGATTTACTCCAAGACTTTACCACTATGCGAAGGGCATTATATAAGTGTAAATATATGCTGTTTACTTACCTTTGACTTCAATAGCAGTAGCCAAATCATCAGCATCTTTTGCTGCATCGAAGTTTCCGTAGGGTCTCACAGTGGCTCCCACCTGTGTCTGTAAATTAAAGACCATTTAGCTTACATGTTGCAGGGAAACAGATCAGTTACACAACTTCTGCCAAACAGACTTTTTTAAAAAACATTCCGAAATTTCCAATGAAACAAATCATTAACAAAAGGCAAAATACTGCAGATGCTGGAAATCTGAAATAAAATCAGAAATCGCTGGGAACACTCAGGAGGTCAGGCAGAATCTATGGAGAGAGGAAAGTGAGTTAACATTTCAGGTCGATGACCTGAAACAAACCATTCATGTAATTTAAAAATCACGCTGTGTTCTTCTGAAATTGGAAGAAGAGTGAAGGTTGCACCATGGCAACTACAAATATTTATCCAAGCCACACAAATCAAGTTGAAATGAACTGGGTAGAGGTTGAAAGGTGAATTACATACACAATTTTAGATACAGATAGGGAAGAGTGAGAAAAGACCCAGAGGCTCATCAAGTTTTCTTTTGGGAAAAGCTCTTCATTCCACCTCCCACACAATATTCACCTTCCTGGTGCTAGCCACTCTGAGTTATGAATAAAACATCATTGTGTGTTGTTCCTGTACATACATTAGCTGTAAAACAGCACACACTAATTTACCTTCAAAATTTGTACAGTCAGCAAACTAATGTTATAATATAATACTGATAATAGCGCTTCACAGAATATACTATAAAGTATATTGACTATATTTTGTGGGCGACACGCAGCAGCCAATTGTACCACAAACAGTCGTGGAGGATTGAGTGATCAAAATATTATTTTTTTAAGGGATTATTACCCCCAGAAAAGCGATCCGTCAATGGACTAACAACCGGGTTCCTATTTACTGCTAGGTGAACAGAGGCTTGTGGTGTAAGGAAACTTGCCCAACGTTTCACCCTGCCTGGGAATAATACTTGCGAGGCGAGTGCTCTAAGCACGAAGCTACAGGACTCCAATGTTATTCTGTCTTATTCTGATGTGTTTAATTAGCTCCAGAATGCTAAATCTATTATTTTGTGAGCTGGCAATCTTCAAGGTGGACTTTCTGCTGCTTTTCTTTTTTTCAATCTGCTCCTTAATGCTTCTATAGGCACAAATTCTGAGACACTGGCAGTTCTCTGGCACCTTATCTTGGTGATCATTCTTCATGTGTGACCTTGAACTACATGTGCATGATGTTTTACAGTGTGGTCACTACTGTTATTTTTCACATGGATTGTAGAAATAAGAGGAAGATGCCCTTGAAGGCTGGGGGAAAGAAATAGAAGAAAGGGGTGGGGTGGGGCAATAAATGGGAAAAGGGGAGAGGAATGTAACCAAATCTCATCAATCAGTCAAGAAAAACAACAAATGAAGTCATTGCTATTTATGAGTTTCTGTAAGAATTCTTGGGCGTGGATCCTGAGTGTGACCATCAGGCAGCCATGTGAATCACAGGCTATAAGTTGGCATTTTTTGCTGTACAATATTCCTGACTGTACTTTTCTAAATTAAAATAAAGTGAATTCTGGGACTTACCATTTCAGTCTATTTACATCTATAATCAACAAGATACTTACTTCCTCATAACCCAGACAGATCTCGGCCAGGACTTCGCGCACTTTTGCCATTTTGCCTAAAGAGCAGCTGAGGAGAAAAAGAAAGACATTAGTCCCCAAAGAGAGTGAGCAACATGGTATAAATCAGACTCGAGGCAACAGAGCAGCAGCCAAAAAATACAAACAAAGGGTTTAAATTTTATTGCACTGACTGAACTCTTCGGTAAATCATTCAAAAGTCTACTCTTGGACAAGCTTTCTCTCTCCTCCTCTCAGCCCCCCGCCCCCCTCGAGACATACATACATCATTAAGAGTTTCCTTCCTCTCAATGGAAAGGTTTTCTAAAGTGATTCTGAAGGGAAAGAATGAATCATTTTTTTTTAAAAAAACAGGAAATATGGACATGATTAGAAACACCTAAACTGCATTTCATTAAAATAAGAAGTCACATCTACATTGCCCATCAAAATCCTCATTTGCATAGTACAATTATTGGAGGTTACAATTAACCTATACTTAAATATTATATTGATCTATAAGACCAATTCTGTGCTTATTGCAGTTTACAAAAAGCAGCATCAATTAACTTCATGCATTTCTTTACTGAAGTGACTTTTAAAATTTGTATAAAACTTGCAAGTAATGGAGATTTTTCTGTTCACAAAATAAGTTAATTGCATAATTCCAGCTGTCTGACAAGTGCCAACCTAACATTTGAGTAAGTCAAGTAACATGTTAAAACCTGCGAGTGACGAAAACCAAACACTACCTAAACATTGAGCAAACACACCCCGTGACGGGGCTTGATTGGAATTTGGTTGTGGGTGCAAGCTTCCCAGAACCCAGCAAGACAACACCTTCTCAGTCAAATCCACAAAAAAAAATCCTAACAGAAAGATAGCACAGACTGATTAGCGTTGTCAATCTTTTTCATATCCCTGCAATGAGAAGGATATGACACACCCTCAGTATGTAACATCAATCTGCAGACAAGTCTGCATCACATTACTCTGGTAGAGGAATTTCTTATAAATGGGGTATTCTGTAAGGAAATGACAGTATGCCTGAAACAGAATTAGTACAAACTTTTGCATTTTATTTTAATATACTATTAAAAACGGTGTACGTTTTTAGGATTTGTGGCTGGAGGGGTGGGGCTCCACAGAATAGAGAGCATGTTTCTAATGAACCATAAAAAATTATAAATCCTTAAATTTGGAGACATGATTTGCTTTTAAGTATTCTGTCTTTTCCACGAACAATTTTGTGTTGGGCGATTTTAAAAGGTAAACGATTCTGCAGTTACTGGAATAGATTTAAGATGAAGGTGCCTACAAATTACACAGTCACTGCACGCAAAAGTATATTCTGTGGAGCGCTCTGAAACACTCTCCCTTAATGATATCAAATGCAAGGATTATGTCATTATTCTAAATTCAAACCCCTAGGAAGAAACAGTTATATAAAAAGTACACCCCAAATATGTCTCATTGACCATCACATAGGCACATGAGCTGCAAGCACATACTGAGCCATGCAATATAATTGTACACTATTCACATCAGGTTTTTTTGGTTCAAAGAATTCTCCTCCTCCACCCACACCCTCCCTGACATGTACAGTAACAAATCACTTTAATAGAAATGTGCTGAAGCATAAGTTTTCCATTCCAGACAATGTCCTCTCTGAACTCTGGCATAATCATTGGAAGGAATGAAGGGTGGGGAGAGAAGGAAAATACTGAAGTCACTATAATATTCTGAGATGCAAACTCAGTGATGTAGATTTGTGTGCAATTGCTTAGAAACAGATTTGAAAATCTTCTGAACAGTCTCCCAGCTTAGTACTAAACATATCCAGAGCAAGAAGCTCATAAATCAGTAAGATTACTGGTTTCAGTGTGGAAAACACTGAGATATATTATTTTAAAATGATACATTTCAGATTTATCATCACAGAATGGATCTCAATCTGATAATATAATACAGCACATTTTTAAACTTAACTTTGCCAGGAAAGTAACCATTTGTTCTGAGATGCGCAGTAATAGACTGCTTTAACTCTAAATATCTGCGTTAAAGGCAGGACTCAAGTTCATGTATTTTACAAAATCTGTTAACTGATTGGGAGAAGAAAAAAAAACACTCCAGAACTGGAAAACGTAACTGCTCTTACCTTGCTGCGTCCTCAGATGCTGAATACAGATTAACTCAGCTGGGAAAAAAAAACTCACTTCAGCTACAGGGTGGGGTTTTTAAACAGCAGTAGAAACTGGCCACATCAACAGTTCTCTTTCTCCACCCCTCTGCTGGAGAAGCCTGCGTGATGCATAGCAACCAATCCTGATAAGTTATTCCCCTAACATTGTGAAGATGGAAGAATGAATGACTAATAGCAGACTGAAAAAAAATCTTACAACCAGCTCACTTCTCTCACTTCAGATCGAAATCGTACCGTATAAAGTAGTAAAACATTTTGCAACCACAGATTTCAAGCGGAAACGAACCATAGAAATGTACAATAATAATAATCCTTGCATTTGATATAGCGCTTTTCACGTCTGGAGGGCGTCCCAAAGCGCTTCACAGAACACACTGTAAAGTGAATTGACTGTATATTTGCGGGCGAACGCGGCAGCCAATTGCGCATAGCAATGTCCCACAAACAGTCGTAGATTGAAAATGACCAATTTATTATTGTTTTTGGTTTTGGAGGGATTATTATTAGGCTCTGTGTGGAGTAAGGAAACTTGCCCAAGATTTCGCCCTTCCTGGAATTGAACTCAGGTCTCTCGCTTGCAAAGCGAGTGCTCTATCCACTGAGTTACAGGACTCCACACTGTAGATGGCCCATTTATTGCCTCAGTATTAATGCAAGTCGTTGTTGTTGTGTTTGCTTCTTCAAGAATACATCCATTCCTAATCCTAATTATCGTTTGATATTCAATAGTAAAAAAAACAAATCTAATCAATGTTATTTTGACTCCATTGCAAAGAATGGATGAACTTGAGACACAATTGTGGTCTTAAAATTAACCAACACACATTTTCAAAAATCTGTTTCTATCTTTCCTTTTCATTTATAAACACTCTGAGACGTTATCCTGTGAATGGCGTTATATAAATGCAAATTGTGATTATAACTTTCTCTAGATACTGGAGAAAGGATGGGTTGACGGATGAAGAAGCATGAAGTCAAAGCCAAGTAGTCTCTTGCTGCAGTAATATGCCACACCTTTCAGCCACAATGAGAAGAATGCTTCAAGCAGTGAGCACTGCAAAAACCTGCTATGCTAGCAAGATGCAATCTCACAAATACTCCAACTGTAGATCTCTGCCACACCCGCCTTAGTTTTCAAGATGCTAAAAACTTAAGAGTTAGAAATAATCTAACTGCTTTCTTACAAGCATATTATTCAAGAATAATGTTTGTCTATAAATACAGTCACTATACTCAGTAAATCTTGTGAAGCCCCTTGAGATGTTTTGATGACATGATAAGGCACTATATCAAATGCAAGGATTATTATAACAAGGTTCATTTGATTTGTTATTTATTTAATAATAAGTTAACTGCAGTCAAAATCTACTGTATAAAATTGACTGAAAAATGGGATCCTATCACTCCTTAAATATTAATATCCAAATAAAATATCATGCTTACAATAGAAATTTCTGATATACAATAAGTCAAACTCGGGAGAATTATTGGAATTAGACATCCCTTCTAGCTACACCAGAATTTTACAAAATCTGCATCATTGTTAACTTATTTTTACAATTTCTGCTGTTCAGTAAAGGTAGATGCACACACACACACATTGAAAACACATGCTATTAAAACAGCAGTAGCAACTGGGATAATACATTGCAAGTCAATGATACATTTAATAAATGTGTAAAATTCATAATCCCAGATGCACCGAAATCTTCAACCACACCCTTTCTGTTTATATTGGCTTTTGCCCAACCTAATCCATTTTAGGATGTGCATTGGGTGTTGCTGAGCCATGCAGATTTGAAGGGGCCCAGATTAACCCCCCACCTTTTGCGAAGCTAACTAATCCCACTGGATAGTGCTAAAATTGGCATCAATGCTATCAAGTGACCTTTATAGCGATTGTTGGATGAGTTCCACGATCAAATTGTCTGGTCGCGCACATTATCCATGCTTACAAATAGAGGGAGTAGTAAGGGCTGGCAGGCTATTTGACTGCAATGCGTATCCCAGCTGAGCCCAATCCTGAACTTGTTCGATAACCACACATGCACATCTTCCATCAGGGTTTCCAAGTAATGCTTAGAAACATAAAACCAGGCTGTCTTTTTCTCCCTCTGTAATACAGAGGCTTTAAGTACCGGCCCACTGAGATCAGCAAACTGTACAGTCAAGGATTTGTACCCACAATATTCTGGTCTGTATGGCCCAGTGCAGTCACCTGGCCATCAATGGAGTTTAAATATCACACAAACACTTTACAATGTGATTATAAAATAAGCTCCAATATATTAAAAAAAACATGTTCCCTGTCAAAAAATCTTTACACAATACAAAATACAACTTATACAGCACTTTTTCCATCAGGACATCTCAAAATGCTCGACAGGAAGGCAAGGCAACTGAACTGAGGGGTGGAAACCAAGGGGGCAGGGATGGGAAAAATGACCGAAAGCAAAGTCAAAGAGGTGTTGAAATGGGCCTTAAAAAAGGGTAGGGAGTGTGTTAGAGGGACACCAAGATGGAGTTCAGGGAGCGGGGCAGAATGGCTGAAAGCCCACCTGACAATGGTGGAGATGAGAGGTTGGGGAACATGAAGAGGTCAGTGTTCGCTGAGTGAAGGGAGTGGCCTGGTTGGTGTAGTTGAAGGAGTTAGAGATGTAGTGTGGGGTGAGACCGTGGAGGGATTTGAATGTGATGCAATAATTCAAAGTTCAAAAAGCCTTGTTCCAAAAAAATGCAGATTTGAAAATCCAACTTCGTTATGGGAAAACATGGCCACACCTCATTGTCACTAGCCACGTACATTACTCTCAAACAAATAATTTTCCTCCCACAATATCTGATCATATCACAAAATCCATTAAAATGAAGTTTCCTTTGGCTCAGCTGCCATGCGTCACTTTCCTTCCTGAAATACAAGACCCGAAAGCTCTGTTGCTGCATCTGTTCAGTCTGCTTACAAAAACAGATCGCACAATGGATTCTGATTTCAGTCTTTACTGAACCAACAGGAAAAAAGAAACATGTATCTTACATGTATCTCATGTGGTCAAAAATTATGTTATACATTTAAAAATCATGTATGGACAGTAATTTGCAAGAGCCCCATTGTTCCAGGCAGAATTCCAAAGCTTTGCTTGTCTTTCTGACTCATGCTCTGAACTCGCCCATTAAAAGCCCATTTTAAGAGAAAATGTGTAACAGAAGCCATGCAAATTCTGAAAGTTTTCAGTTTTTGGACCTTTCGCATTGAGTTTTACTTAATTTCATATAACTGGAACGAACAAAGTCAGGCCTTCCGAAGCTGAAAGCGTTTTTTGCTTTTTATTTTTATGTGAGAATCAGTAAATGCTTAACACAAACACTCCATGTATGAAAAAGAAACCCAAAACGTATTTAATCTGTGCCCACTCTCTGCCTTTTGCCAATCACATCTGCACTGAACATCCTAATCTCTTAATCAAATCCATCTGCAAACGGCAGATAACAAGAAGTGCAGCACACAGATTTATTAATAATTTGGTTTTCTGTGAAGGCAAAATATGTACTGCACATTCACAGGCATGAAGTGGGCATTCTGCATTTACTTGCGATGAAAGGCTGGCCTCTGACTGAATTCCTTAAAGTTCACTTTCCATTAAAACAGAAACCTAAGGCTTCTCCCCACTTTATATTTTTAAAGGAAATAGCTTCGAGCCTGGTAATTGGCAACAGTGGAACAAAATGCTTGTAAGCTGCCTCTAATTCCTCTCTACTGTTGCCACTTTTGCTGTTTTCTACAGTTGATTAAGTCTTCTTCCTTTTTTTGTTTGGTGACACACCCTGATTTCCCCGCGCTGAGCTGGCAGAATTATTTCTTGTTTCCATAGATACTGCTTTGGTTTGAACAAAGCTCCATTTGTTTCCTTTGACCGCACCAATCTGGAAGTATAGAAAAAAACACTTTAAAAAGATTGTGATTTAGGAGCAACTTACTTTCATAATAAGTAGTTCTTTCGGATTTTCTTCCAATGATTCAGGAACAAAATCAAAGGAAAGATTTGTTTTACTCTCAGCGAGTCCAACATAGTTCAAATATAGTTAGTTGCCAGCATTCATTCCAGAAAATATTTAACTGCTTCAGCATTTTGAGGATAACAGAAGATTTCAATGTGCTCTTGCACATAACAAATGTTCGCAATGAAATATTTGTGGCAGTTGTTCTTTCATAGAATCTTTCTGTAAGTATTTTTGAAAACTTAAAAAATGTAATCATATGAAGTAGTCATTGCAATGCTAGGGTTAACATCTATTTGGCACTTTATAGCAACACAGGAATGCGCAGGGCAGAAAAGATCCCTTCCAAAGTAAAAACAATTCCACTATGAATCACATCGATTTCTTCACCAAATAGTTATCTAGTTCCACTTGAATTTGCTGTCCCAATCAGCCTCCATCAGTTCCCTGGGCAGCTCAATCCAATGACTGTGAAGAATTAAATTAAATTTGCCTTCTCTGCTCAGAGCTGTAATCCCACTGAAGAATTCCTGACCATGTTAAACATATTATTAGGATTCAGTTTATCTACTGCCCTTTAGGATCTTAAATACTTCAATTGGATCTTCCCTGAGTCTCCTCTTCTGCAGTGTGAAGATTTTGCAGTCCCTCCTCATAACCCAGATGTTATTTAATGTACGCCATCCAAGCCAATGAGTCACTATTGAAACACAGTGACTACAAATTCTACAGTGCTCCAAATGGGGCCAGCAGGGTAACTTGTACATTGTACCATATAAATTTACAGCAGGGAAGGCAGCCTTTCAGCTAATTGTATGCATGTCCTGTTATCATATGTTGTGATTTATGATGAATCCAAGATCTTATCCATCTTCTCTATACCACTGCTACCGACTTCACATTTCCAATGATACTTAAAACACCAGCACTCCCAAAATCCCTCTCCGATGCTGTGCCCTACAGAATGAAACCATTTAGCTATATTCCTACTGCTTATTCTCTTTCCAATAATCATCAACCTGGCATTTGTTAAGAGTATCTTTCACGTTGTAAGGGCATCTCATAGCACTTCACATGATATACTGTAAAGTGTAGTGACTGTGTATTTTGTAGGCGAATGTTTTATCTTTATCCAATGTTTTATTTACAAGAAATGTCAGATGCATCAGCCTGTAGCAAAATCTGTGATCTTTTAGCCCTTTCTTATAAAATCTGTGTTCCTTTTTTCACCCTTCCTAATTACTCAATCTTATTTTTCCGTACACTTTCAGCTATTCTTCTCTGCCTCTTTATCTTACGTGCTTTCCACCATGTCCTGATATCTGAATCATACCTTCATAGCTTACATGTTACAATATTCTGATTCATAACACAGCAGCAACAAACTCACACTGACTTGGGTCAACCAACTCATTTACACTAAAGTAATGAAGTGAATTTGCTATTTCCTAATATAATACAGCATAGTGACCCTTCTGTGCTGAGTGTACAGAAACTGGTACCAACAAGAGGCACATGTGTGCATGCTGTTAACTGTAAGTCAAGTTTGCCAATTTCATTTCTGACCTCTGAACCCTCCTTGATCACTGGAGAATGTCTTTTTCAGGAAAATGAGCCAAGAGTCGGGCTGATTATTTGGCAAGCTTGCCAAAGCTTGCTAGATAACTAAATGGCAGACTACATCCCTGTTGGCACAATTTACAAAATTGTTGGCAGCAGCACTGTAAAAAAAACCTCTGTAGCTGGGCATTAGTGTCTCCGGAAACCCAGAGCTGCGGCGAGTCATGGCTGGCTGCTCCAGCTGTATATAGTAAGGGATCTTCAAGTGCTTGGGAAGTTGCAGATAAATTAGCTCCTTAAAATAAAAAGGGATGTCATTTGCATACAAGTTACATGAAACTGTCTTTCACCCTCTTCTGCCAGGGTCAGTGCACGAGTGTCAAGTGCAGCTTCCTGTCTCCACAGCGAGTTAGCAGATCTTCAGTTTATGACAAATCTGACTGATCGTTAGCATTGTTCCTGTGACCAAATGCCATTGTCATGGACTCCTTACACATATTGTGGGCTCACACCCATATCTGGTCACTTGTCTAAGCCTCTGTCCCATTTTATTTTGTGAATTTCTCCAATCACACAAAAAGCAGTGCAATTTTATTTTGAGTCTCTCAACTTCAGAACAGTCCTCATTTCCAGGAGAGACAAACCTACACTAACTTTAACTCCTGTGCATAACTTATTAAAAACTTATTGAGAATGCTCTAAAATAGCATCTTTCCTATGATAGAATGAACAGTAGTATTGCACAAATCCAACCAGTGACTTATTGCAGTAACAATATCACCTCTTTTGGTTTGCATCCTATCCAGCCGTTAAAGTTCCAACACCTTGCGTGTCTTTTTCATTGTTGACACGTTAATGAACTTTGCATAAATACCTTTCCTGATCAGTGCCCTCCATGTCTGCTTCATGCAACACATGCCAGCTATTTTCTATCTTTGCTCAAATACGTAGACTCTGCTATTTTCTCAGCACTAAACTCTATTTGCCATCTACTGGCTTGGTTTCTGAAAAGATTCGAATGCTGTTTCTAGTTCCCTTTGATTTAGATCTCCAGCATAAAACTGAGAAATTACACAACTCTGGTAAGGTGTGGCACTGTTGAATCAATATCTTTTGAATTGTTATAGCAACCTTTGGGTGTTCACTGTTAAGAGACACTTTGTTTTTAAAAAAACTTCAATGCAGCAGTTTATCTTAAAGATCTACAATTTAACATTATAGATATGGAAATTGTAACTCAATGAAATTGGGTGAAAATGAACGCAAACCTTTTTATTTTTAGTTTTTTTCGAGGGTTTAGGAGGAAACATGCACGGAGCCCTCCCATGATGAACGTGATACGGCATCATGATTGTAGGATCCAGTGGTACCCAGGGTACTGACAGAGTAGATGGAACTTTCGGAAGCTCGTGGTGCGTAGCATGGAGGTTGTAGTCCGTTCTTGTGGCCTTATCTTGACTGCTGCTATATACAGTCACGGACGAAAATTTTCTGGCATGACTCAACAGATAGTTGCCTTCTTCTAAGCTGCAGTTCAAAATAAGAATGAAAAATAAGCTGCACACTAAACAGCAATCCAACTTAAAAAACAGCCGTAAAGAGTTTCTCGAGGTCTGTTTGCAGATTTCCCTTGAAACAAGAAACAATACACAAGAAATTACAACAATATTTTTCTGTGACAGATAAAAGTTGTTTATGGATGACAGAAGGATACACCTGAACTTGTGCTTTGGTACAAAATTAATATTTTTTTTAAAATGTAGAAATCTTGCCAGATGGGTTCCATGCTTGAATCCACCTAACTGGGTATGGTCCCGCTGGGCCAAATGGAGAGGAAGTTTGCAGGATCAATTCCCAGTCTCTGCTGAGTTAGCTGATCTCAGCTGGGCCAGCACTTGGGCTGCTACAGCCAGCCTTAGTCAGACTGGGCTAAGAGGAAAGCAAGCCAGTGTTTCCACTCCTTATTGGTTTCCAGTGCGCTTCTTCCCCTCGGTCAGGTATGAGCGTTATTGGGCATTCCTAAGGTTCCCTCCACACTCAAATAGCCTGTCAATGCTCAGTACAGTAAAAAAAAAGTTATTTATGTAAGGAGGCAGTGGGTTACCAGCACCTATGGAACTGGACCCCTTCAACAATTAAAAGCTCATCTGTTAACTACCCAACAAACAATGGAGTCTGAAAGTATATCAACAATATATTCCTTGAGTTCGAAATTACTGTGTAGTTTAAAAAAAACTGAACTTACCCAGACACCGCTTTTAATATGTGGTGAAGAATATTCAATGAATTTATAGGCCTAGAAAAATATAAAGAAAATAAACACTATTAAAGTCAAGTTAAGTCAAGTTTAAAAAAATAATGTGTAGTTTAGCTTAAAGCTAAATCTATAAAGCTAGAAAGCTAAATCTATTGAGGGGAAAAAAGATTAAGGGGAATATAGGTGGGGTTTAAAAAGGAAGGGAATCAATAAAGTGAATTGTGGAGGGATTCTTTGACCAAACAAGGCTAGAAGAACCCAAACCTAAAACAGGGAACAAGAAAAAACACTTAGTCCTTTGGGCCTGCTCCTTCCCCATACCTGTACAAAGTCTCCTTAACATGAACTCTACCCTCATCTACTCAATCCACAACTGTTTGTGGGACACTGCTGTGCACAATTGGCTGCCATGGTTCACCCACAAAATAAACAGTGATTTCACTTTCCAGCATATTCTGTTAATATCCTTTGAGATGTCTCAACAATGTGATAAGGCACTATATCAAATGCAAGGATAATTACGATTATTTAAGATATCAGAATGAAAATCCCAACAGTGCTAAATTCACGAATGCTGCCTTTATTACTATGCATTTAGTGGCAAATCACGGAGTTTTACTCCATATCACTATACTGCTCGAGAGAAAATGTACTGGGAGTATAAATGCAGCATTTGATACAATTTCTGCTTGCCTTCAATTCAAGGTTTAAATCTTCCCTTATTTATTTCAATGGCTTTATGAGAGTTTAACTTACTTCTCTTTGCTGGTCTGCAACACTTACAAAAATGCAATCTTAGATTGGGGTGCATTGCCTCCTCCTCTGCCCTCCAGTTCCTAAGCGTTTGAATATAATTAACCCAGAGTCTGAGGACACTCAATAAAAAGTGAGTAGCTGATCTCAAAGAAGCCATTAAACTAAACTGGCCATTAGATGACTCACACTTGAAACATTAGCAATATTTTCCATTCACTTACTTGAAAGATTTAAACCTTGTTCCTAGCGATGCTGCTGGAAATTGGTCCAAAAAAATTATTTTTGATGCAAAGATATCAATATGCGCTGCCATTAAAGGGAAAAAAAGAAATGGAAGTCAAAAAGAAGTATTACAGAACGCTAGAGCGCAGAACTGTAGCAGGATCTTAAAACATTTCCTAGAGCTGAACTGTGCCTTTTATTAAACATCACTGAAATGCCATCTTTAAAACCATGCTGTCATATTAATTAACTATTCGGGCTCCCCCACTGTTAAGCACTCCAAGACACTGCCCCGCATGAAGGGCACTATATAAATGCAAGTTGTTGTTCTCATTAAACAACAACAACAAAATTACATTTGTATAACGCCTTTCACATCAGGAGGACGTCCCAAAGCACTTCACTATTATTGTGACTATGTATTTTTTGCAGGCGAATGCACTAGCTCAATTACTCACAGCAATTATGCACAGCACACAGTATAGTACAGTACTACAAGAATACTTTAATTTTAAATACATTTTTTACTTTTGCTTGTTTTTATAGGGACAAATGTGGGCGTGGAGGGAGTGGCAGGTTGTTTGACATTGGAATAACTGGCCTCTAAGGGATTCATTATTCACACAACATGAAGAATCTTATGAATAGTGGAGTGCTGGCATCTCCTCCTCAGTCCTTTGTCGCCTTCTGTTGCTTGGGACTCGATAGGTTTCTTGATGTCATTGAACTATTTTTTCACCTACTTCCAGGTTTTTCACCCAGGTGGTTATTGCAGCCCAGTTTTCCTTCAGCAGTTTAACATTTACAATCTTTTTACAAGGATATCATTTTGGAAAGAATATCCAAACGAAAGCTAGAGTCTCAGAAACGTAAAAATCATTCAATCAATGAATGGTTAATAAAAAATTATTTCATCAGCAGTCGCTCCACCTAAAAATGTCCACACCCAGCCTCGCCTTGCCCAGTGTGTAATGCATTCTTTTCCCTTTCATCAGAGAACAGCTTTCACCAGACAGTCATATTCTACAAAGATAGTCCCTGACAAGCTAAAGTCGGTATGCTGTTAGATACTTCCATTGTACAGCGCTGCACTATATCCAAGCCCATTTTGTCTAGCAGCCCAGCTTAATTTACACTACACCCTGACTCATTTTGCACAGCCTGAAATTTTAAATCCTCATGTGTATATAGATAACCCCTCATTGTTTTCAGATTGCATTTCAGTATTGATGTGACAAGCTTTATGTTCACAGTTGAATGACAGCAAAAGGATCCCACACACCCCCATTTTCTACAATGTGGTGGGAGGGAGAAAGAGAAGAGAGAGGAAATTCAAACTAAAAGTAAGAAATAAACAAACAGAAATAGCAAAAGAATTAGAGGAGAATGGAAATCAATTGAAAAACACTTGGAAAATACTTTCGTCTTATTTCTGTAAACATCACTTAATAAGAATATTTGCTCAACAACAAACCTGCTTAGGTATCAATTGATTTCATGTATGTATTTCAAAAATTCTACAACACAACAGCTTTTTATTAAGAAGCTTCGACTCATGTTTCACCCCTTTAAAAAATACACTCCTCACCCAGTAAATACCATTTGAAGGCTTGATTTAAATGCTTGACATTTCCCAAAATAATTTTCTCAACGTCTCATAGAAATTGGGTGTTTTTTTCACCTAAAACATTGTATTTTTTTTTTAGCATCGGAGGAAAGTTATACTCACCTATATAAAACCAGCTATTAGAATTGAAGAGGGTTTCAGTCCAAAACCGACAAGCTTCACTGTCAGTAAAGTCTTCTACTCCATACGAGGGCTGATAATTCAGTTTGGGGTACAAAAAGACTGGGATATGCTGGTGAAACAAACATATTATTCATGAGTACTTTATCCAACTAATATTTCATTTTGTTATTAAGACACTGTAAAGGCATTATTGGACTTTTTCAATTTAATTCAGTAGAAATACGGATCCATGATCAAACAAAATGTGTTCAAACAATCTGCAAAAAGTAAATAACTCACCCTTTTCGGTCCTACTTTATTCGAACGTGGTTTTGTTTGCGCTTTGAATACTTGCCCACGTACAATAATTAGCATATCAGCCAAACTGAAGAGTTTATAGGAGACGTTCCCCGTCGAAGGGTCTGCGTAGTCACACACATTTTCTGTACAATGGCGGAGCTCATCCGAGAGCAACGCTAAAAGGCAGACACATGTTAGAGTAACTTTTAAAAAGTCCTCTTTACAATTTCTGCATCAGCACTGTTACAGCCTTACACTTCCTAATTTACATGCATCTGTAACCACATTTTGGATTCTTAAAATCCATTTAAATTCCATTTTATTTTTAATAAACAAAAAACTTTAAACACTCTAGGTACATTCAAGATACTCTGAGCAAAGACCCTACAATGTCTTCAACCTGTTGCAAAATGATGTAGTGGTCTTTATAGCACATCCTACTTTTTCCACTAGGATCTATTTGGTGCTCTCATTGAAATTAGGAGTTAAACTGGGAGCTAATAGAATATCATCAGTTGATGCTCTTTCTCCAGAATTTGTCAATTATATACATTTCAACTCAACAATAAGAACAAATTGCATTTGTACTGCACCTTTCTAGTGGAATAGTCTTGCAGCGCACAACAAGGGCAGAGCTTGACAATGAGTGGGGAGGTGACTAGGCATAGTTGAAAAGGAAGGTCTTCAGGTGTGATCTGAAGAGGGGCGAGGTAGGGGCCAGGAGGAGGTATTTAGCCAGAGTTCCATTTTTGAGGGATAGTGTCTAAAACCATGGCCTATGCCGATCGTGGAGGATGAGGGACACAGAGTCGATGAAAGCAAAAAATATTAAAACACTTACTTTTGGAATTGGAGCCTATAGAACCAGCGGACTCAGACACAATAGATTCTGCAGGATTCTTTTCCAATGAGACATGACCTTGCATTGGATGTGTATCGAGCACATTTGCCTCTTGATTTACCAGTGACTGTTCCACAACAGGTTTGGGATCCGACTTTAACAGTTTGCATTGCATTTTCAGAATCTGCCCAACTGGATCAAATTCCTTTGAAATTTTACGTACAGACCTTTTATTCTCCTTCTTGCTCTGCATTGATCTAGTAATCACATCTTGATCAGGAGATGGTGATCGGGGGGTATCTGGAATGTCTTCTGCCTCATGAAGCAAGGTCTTTTCAGTGACAGAATTCAAGGTTCTCGAATTAGTTTCCTCAGGTACACGCCTCTGATGGTCTGTGTCAATGATAAGTCGCTCATCGTCTGAATCACTATGATCAGAAATTTTTTTTTTCGACGGCTTGAAAGATGACGTTTCATCTGAATCTGTCTCTGTTGTCAAAGAATTAGTGCCTGATTTAGTTCTTGTTTCCCCTTTGGAGTTAGTCTCTTGCTTCTCTTCCTTGGAATCATCATTTTTCGTTGTATTCGATTTTCCATCACATTTTGTTTTGGACGGATCAGACAGAGGACATTGCTCCTGATTTAACTTGTCCTTTATTCCTAACGTCACCGATATGTCTTCAGAAGGCTGACTCTTGTTGCCCTGCTTTTTGGAAGTTGAGGCAGTAGAGTTGAGAGATCTTGCATGTTTATCATCTTTGACAGAGGTCCTGTTTTGGGAGATTCGTTTTGATGACCTGGTGGACATAGAACCAAATGTCTCTAAATCTGTGGCGTCAAAATCTGTATTTTCAAAGATGCTTTCATACTGCTGCTGCTTTCTGCCGAGCATCTATATTGAACAAGAGGTAAAAACGGTCCAATCATCAGAACATATGTATGTGCAAGTTGAAAGAATAGAGATTACATGAAATGTGTTCAGCAAACCTCCCCCATCAGTGAATAAACACACTGTGAGATGATTAAAATTGAATTAGAACCAAGCATAGTCAGTCTTTATATCACAGGAATTTAGGACCAGAAGAAGGCAACTCCACTCTGTCTTCCTGAAAACTTACATTCTCCTCCAGTCTATTAATGTCTTCTGGTTTGTCCAAAGTCATAGTAGACAACGGCACATCAGATTTTTTTGACATCAATAGGTCTAAAGGAACTTCGTAAAAAAGTGAATTCTTCTCCCTCACAGTAAGCTCTTTCTTCACAAGGGGTGAGTCGAAACAGATCACTTTTACTTTATTTCCTTTAAAAAATAAAAATAAAAGTTCCACTTCTTACCATTGTATATTGCTATCACCTTTCAAAACAAAAAGAAAAGCTAAACATTCTTTATGTGCATACAAATGTAATAAAAACTAACAATCTATAAAATATACATAGGTATTTCCAAAATATGACAATACAATAACTAGGCAAAAGTGTGCACTGTATTGTGATGACACAATTAATAAGCACAGCAAGCTTTAAAGGACAGCCTGCATGATCATAACTTGCACTTGCATACCAGTGAGAATTATTTATTGTTTGAACTTGCCTGTGCCAACATAAATGCATCAGATCGTACCACGATACAGAGAATATGAGAACAATTAGCATTGAACACAAAGAATAGCACTCAATACAAAATGTTCAAACTTCAGTCTGTGGTTTGCAAATCTGATTTGTTTATGTTGCAAACGGCTCCACGCTGAAGGATTCCAGCTGGTAATTGAAACCAGCCTCTTAGGTTAAAATCAAATCGTGAGAACTGATTAATAAACAACCAAACTTATTTTTTTGGTACATATTTCAAAACTCTCATAATCAATAATACGCATGCGCTTTCTCTGCAATTGTAAATATGTATGTGTGTGTATATCAATGTATGCATGCGTGCTGTGGAGTCCTGTAGCTTGGTGGTTAGAGCACTCGCTTCGCAAGCGAAAGGACCTGGGTTTGATTCTTGGCAGGGCAAAACGTTGGACAAGTTTCCTTACTCCACATGGCTCTGTTTACCTAGCAGTAAGTGGGAACCCGGCTGTTAGTCAACTGGCGGATCGCTTTTCCGGGGGTTATAATTCCTTAAAAAAAAATTTGATCACTCAATCCATGACCGTTTGTGGGACACTGCTGTGCGCAATTGGCTGCCGCGTTTCGCCCATAAAATTACAGTCAATTCACTTTACAGTATATTCTGTGATGAGTTTGAGACGTCTTAAAGTTGTGATAAGGCTCTATATCAAATGCAAGGATTATTATTTATTATAGTGCGTGAGTATGCTGTGGTTGCGGTTTAAATCATTTCCTGCATGCTATAGCACATGTGCGCAGGAAGTCAGTAATCCCTCTCACAAGTGTTTCCAGCAATTGCAGTGCTAAGAACTGTTTTCTGGTTTTGTTTAGTTATAATTTTAAAAATATTCTGTTGTTCTGGACTTTTCTACCAAAGAACGATATACATTGTCAATTATCTACTCTAAATATCCTGCATTACTTCAAGTACTTCAACTGGATCATCATAGTCCTAAATATGATGGAATAATTTTAAAAAAAGTAAAAAATTTGGATTCAGTGCTGAATTAGAAGCCCTTCAGACATTACACTGATAAACAAGATGAAAAAGGGTGGACTGTGCTGGTGCAGAACTTCATACTCAATGATTTGCCTTTACTCCAACTGGTTATTTGGCTGCAGCTTCTAACAGAATTAGGTTGCAAAGATGACTGTCTAGATTCTAATAAACCAGAAAGATTAAAAAAAAAGATTGGAGAGAGAAAATGGTTTACTAATTCATTGTCCTAGGGTTATTCTCTTAAAACGTCAGTCCAAATTGTTCACAAAAACATTCATGCTTTTAGTGGTATCAATATCGCACTGTTCAAATGAAGCAAAATAAAAGGCTTGGTTTCTTCTGTAATTCTTGAGGAATGCACATATTTTGCACATAAATACTTGGGAAGCCATGTGTGGATCTGAACTACATTTCAAGGTAGCAATATTTTGCTTCCTGGAAAAGCATTCAACAACAACAACAAGATTGCATTTATAGAGCGCCTTTCACGTCAGGAGGACGTCCCAAGGCGTTGGACAGTTGGGTCGGGACCCGAGCAGGGGGGAAATGGTCAGGGTGAGGGGAGGGAGTGAGGAGGGGGTAGAGAGTCGAGAGGGGAGCTGAACTCTCCTTTCTCACTCTCGCTCTCCTTTCTATTCACTCTCAACATTCTTCCATCTCCTAAACATCAATCAATGGGGCTGTTCAGCATCTAAAAGCTTCCATCAAACTGTTGTTCTGGAAATACGATTACTTTGATCAATAACAGCAGCAACAAAGAGCTGCTCTTATTGATCAGATTTCATTATTATTAATAATCATTTAACTGCAACCGACAGAAAGGCCCAGATTGAGGAAGAAGAAAGGAAAGATAACCAGCACAGGTTGATTAAATTGGAACACAGGTGGAGAGTAAAAACACAATGATTCTATGCCAGTGAACAGTGAAGTAAAACTGAATCTAAAGAGAAATGGAAAAAAGTAATAAAGTCTGAACAATGGTAAACTCCTATCCCTTTTCTAAACCTATACTTCCAAAATACTGTAGCCCACCCACGCTCTTGGTACTAAAGCAAGGTTTAATTTATTTGCCAGAACTACCTTGAAATCAAATACCCATTGTACTGGAGTGTAAATAATAATAATCTTTGCATTTGATATAGCACCTTATCATGTCTTTGAGACGTCTCAAAGAGCTTCACAGAATATCCTAACAATTAAGAAATGGTGAATTATACATATTTAGTGCAAACAAATGGCTAGGCATCAAATACTGTGAAATACAGAAGCTTCCATTTCAGAATTTAAAATAAATCTGGCACCACCCTCTGGCCAAATGCTGACAGCACAATTAGTGAAAAACCTCAAATTTCAGACACTTCAGAATATGACTCTCAAAAGTGCATAATTGAACAACGTACATTTTGCAAGAACAGTTTTGAACTGAAGAGCATGAGCTAAGATGCAGCAATGCCACTTATTCCTACTTTCACATCAAATGTAGATAAAGTAAACTCGGAAAGCAAATATGGGAGTAAAACAAAAAACAGGATTCGAAGACTATGTGGAAAGGACAGTGGAAAGCACTTTGTGGAAAGCAGTACGAGTGTAGTCAAAGATACTAGTATAGGGATAGGAACAGAACAACTTGCATTTATATATTGCCCCTCGAAGCATAGAACGGTGAACAGGATAAATAAACAGAGGTAAGAAATTTCTCAACATGTCGTATAGAAATGCCATGATTTTTAGGAATAAAATTGTCGATCTGCGATCTAAGCCAGAAAGGAAGGTTATGACATTGTGGGCATCACAGAAACTTGACTAAGCAATGGGTGGATATGGGGGGCAGTTTAGAAGGATATAGATGGATATGCAGGGAAAGTATAAATTAGGAAGATGTTTAACTTTTTACATTACGCAAGTTAATAAAGTGAGAAAAGTACCTCGATAAGGACCTGACCAGGTGGAAAGAATGTAGGTCAATGAAAGGAATATTAAGAAGATGAAACAAACTACTAGGCTTGGTTGTAGGGCATCGCAGGAAACAACAATAGATTTAAAATTGAATTCTCAAATAAGAGAAGAGCATCAGGGATCAAAAACAATTGTTATGGGTTACTTCAACTTTATGGGTAAATTGGAAGGATTATATTGGGAGCAAAGGAAGAACAATGTGCCTCTGGACATAACTTGACTGTTCTTAGACCCAAATAGTTACAGAACCTATAAGAAGGGTGGTAATATTGCAGATGATATGTACAACTAGGAGATGAAAAGGACATTTTGCAAATAGTGTCAGAGAATATGTCTGATTTAAAGCCTGACTTACAACAGTGAAGTACAACCTTAGAAATTGGATTTTTAAGGAAATGGGGAGGGAATGAAAGAGTGCTGGACCGAATCAGATTTTTATAAACGAGTAGAGGAATATGGGGAGGACTGTAAAAACCATGCACTGCTCAGATTGGAAATTGTCTGTAGTCCAATCCTGAACAGTAAAACATACCTTTTTCATTGATGGTTTTCACACAAATTGGAATTTCCCATTGTTCTGCATAGTTTGGCCCGTGGTTATTTAATAACGTATACAAAGCCTGGGTTGTCATGCAGAACTGAGCACCGTACTTCACACTAAGCTTTGCTGCATTTCTATCATTCATAATATCCTGGAATAAAAGCATAAGGATGTTTCTACGCGGTCACATTTTGTGCGTATATATTAACAAATCTAGACCAAAGACTAAGACCCATAGTACAGGCCGTGCCAAGAAGGCAGAGAGTTTACACGTATTGCAGAAAAAACAATGGATTAAGAATAGGAGATGATACAATAAATTGACCTGGTTCACAACCAAATCAAACTTATGATGCTATTAGTTTTATTTCAACTTGGTTGAGTACCAGGATGGAGAAATAGTGTGCAACAGCAGAACGTGTGAAGTTCAGGGGGAATGTTCAGCAGAGGATTAACCACACTAATAACAATAATAATCCTTGCATTTGATAGAGTGCCTTATCGCATCTTCGAGATGTCTCAAAGCGCTTCACAGAATATACTGTAAAGTGAATTGACTGTATAGTTTGTGGGTGCGATCGAAGAAAACAAAGTTTTTGTGCCCGAGAAAACAACAACAAACCTTTTCTTGAATCTCTACAAGAGTATGAGAGAGGTGATAGTGGGACTGTCCAGATAAGGGAGCATTGTTTAAACCATCGACAGATATGGAGTCATGTAGCTCAGTGGTTAGAGCAATCGCCTCGCAAGCAAGAGACCTGGGTTTGATTCCTGACAGGGCAAAACCTTGGGCAAGTTTCCTTACTCCACACACCTGATAGTAATTCCTCAAGAAAAAAACCACAATAATAAATTGGTCACTTCAATCCACGACTGTTTGTGGGACACTGTTGTGCGCAACTGGCTGCCGCGTTTTGCGCCCACAAATATACAGTCAATTCACTTTATAGTATATTCTGTAAAGCGCTTTGAGACGTCTAGAAAACGTGAAAAAACGCTATGTCAAATCTAAGGATTATTACTATTATTATATGGACTTTATGGAGAGTAATAATATAAGAGTAAAGAATACATGGAAGCAGTCACTCAATAAATTAAATTCTGCAGAGACCCCCTTCAATGTAATCACCTAAAACTATTCAAATATGTGAAAACAGTTCTGTTACTGTCTACCATTTAAATAATAATCAAAATAAACCCCTAGGTAACAATATTTGTGTAATGTACTAATTCTATAGCAACTTGCAGAACACTGTAATCTCCATTCCACGAATGCAAGACTTACAGAGTTCACAATACAGTCTCTTTCCTTAGGTGAAGCAAAAGAAGAAACGTATTTGTATTCTGTTGATAACGAAATGTCAAATGGAAATCTTGAAACAGGCAGCTTCAAAAATCTACTCTTCCCCTGAAAATCAGAAAACATACATGAATCAATCAATAACCTTTGAAGACTGAATTGATGTTTCAATCAGAGGATTTGTATGAAAATCACATCCTGTAAATACATATTATTCAATTACATACATGAAACGGCTCACTTTCTTGCAAAGGGCAAGGAGCAATACATTTCTTAAAATCACTAAAAATATGCCACTATCATGATAAATCATGTTAAAGCAATGGAAGGAAAGTAATTAGGCTATCAAGAAATGAAAAACTGGGAAGGGGATATGGAGAATATTTAAAATGCATTCTTGGGTATTGATGTTTCCCACCATGACCACTTATCAAAGCAGCCAATGGACTGATGAGGGCATGTACTTTTAGGCAAAAAGTATAACAAAGCATGTATTGCTCACTGCTACCTCTTACAGCTGCTAAATGTGCTTGTATAGTTTCTGCCCAAATCTACCACAAGTTAATATTCAATTGAAATGGACTTTCTCACTTCAGGAGCACGTAACACTAACAAACCAGATTCAATGCACCATTAAGTTTACCATGCTGAATAGATTCTTTTCCATCGTGAACTTGAGATCTGGGATGAATTTGCCTCCCATGATGTTTGTATTATCTTGGATACAATAATACTGTGGATATTTCTTCACAGACTTACTCCATTCTCTTAAAACATCCTATAAATAAAGTGAAAGTGAATGTTAGATACCATTCTGGAATTTAATATTCAAACAAAGGTGAACAGATAAATACCCTAGAACAGATAAATCCACTTTTCAACAGTGCCGTTTCATTTGTCCCTCTAAGACAAGAAATCCCATGCAAGTTTCAGATACAGAATTATATATAAGGGGGAAAAAATCATAATGATCAATTAATTTTAATGAATAACAAAAAGCAGAACAGAAATAGCTTGTTGTGGACCAATTCCTGCCACTTCTGCTAGACACTCAGCTCTTGCAGGGGTAGGTCTGCACAGCTGCTGAAAGCCTCATACATGTTTTTCATGAACTAGTCAGAACTACAAGCATCAGTGAGCTGCATGGGCCATCATAGCTACATTCCTAACAGACACTCCCAAAAGGAATCCTTCTCAATGCCATCCGACAGACGGTTGATGAATTAATCACTTGGGTCAGAATACCAATTCCCCTTTCAATTGGAACAGGCATTAACCATTGGAGATGGAGTGAGGACACATTGCAGCTGAAATCTAGGATTCCGCTGTATACCCAATAGCTTTTGGCTTCTTTATAAGGTCAGTCTGAAGCACTAGCCCAAAAAACTTTCTGGAAAACAATGAAAGCAACCAAAGTGAGTTTCAATACAGTTGCAAATGCAATTGCAACATTTTCAGCGCCTTGGAATGCCTTCCCGACGAGAAAGGTGCTATATAAATACAATTTGTTGTTGTAACTCCAAACCTAACTTTAACACAAATACAGTATCTGAATGAAGGCTATGAAAACTTTGGCCAGCCTTTTTCTTTCAATCTGAATTGAAGCTTCTAAAAAATAAAAGGTAATACAGTAACTTGCCCCAATGTAACATGTAGAGCCAATACCTCAGTGTAGCGGATTGAGTCGGGAATAATGAAATTGTAGTCCTCAGCACACATTCTGGCAACATTCTGCAGATACTTCATGAATTCTTCTGTTTCAATACTGACGATTTTCTTCATTTCCTGTAAGCAATAGCTCTGCATTATCATTGCTGCTTGAGCAAGTTAGTGACTGGCGGTTAACTACTTTACATGGGGCTTACACATGTATAATAATAATCCTTACATTTGATATAACGCCTTACCACACCTTCGAGATGTCTCAAAGCATTTTACAGAATATACTGTAAAGTGAATTGATTGTATATTGTGGGCGAAATGTGGCAGCTAATTGCGCACAGCAGTGTCCTACAGTCGTGGATTGAGTGACCACATTATTATTTTTTTTTGAAGGAATTATTAATAATAATAATCCTTGCATTTGATATAGCGCTTTCCACGTCGGGAGGACGTCCCAAAGCGCTTCACAGAACACACTGTAAAGTGAATTGACTGTATATTTGTGGGCGAACGCGGCAGCCAATTGCGCACAGCAATGTCCCACAAACAGTCGTAGATTGAAAATGACCAATTTAATTATTGTTTTGGGTTTTTGGAGAGATTATTATTAGGCTCTGTGTGGAGTAAGGAAACTTGCCCAAGGTTTCGCCCTGTCTTACCCCCAGAAAGGCAATCCGCAATTCGACTAACAACCGGGTTCCTACTTACTGCTAGGTAAACAGAGGCGTGTGGAGTAAGGAAACATACCCAACATTTCGCACTGCCAGGAATCGAACCCAGGTCTCTCACTTGCTCTAACTACTAAACTCCAGGACTCAACACTTATAGTGTGTCTGCGTGGGGGGGAAGGGGTTGGGTAGTTCAATACACTTGGATGGTGCTTCTTGCCAATCAGGCAAGTAGTCAGATATTGGAAGGGTTGAAGTCTCTTCAGAGATGGTGGTTGCTATCACGCTCCTACTGACGTAGTTGGGGTGTACTGAAGGTGGTGGTCGGGGTGGAGGTATAATGAAGCTCCATGTGTTTTCCTATGTCTCGGCACAGGCCACTCGAGAAGAATGTCGAGTTTTGTCAGATGAGGGAATGCAACTTTTTGCAGCTAAAAGTGAGAAATCAACCAGTTTACACATGATGAGTCATGACTCTTGCAGTCTCTAGAATCTGCTTTCAGAAGAACTGAAGGTGAAATATATGCAGGAGAGTGGCCCCTTTGGCTGCAGTTTTGCCCACATTCATTCTTCACTATCAAAAGAAGGTTTTGAATTCCCCCCAAGTTCAGACTCCCAGTTAGCTGTGTGAAGCGCTTGGAGACGCAAATGGAAATTGCTGTCAGTGACATATTGTGGATTGAACGTGGTTATTTGGGCTGTATTATAAAATCATGCTTTTTTATTTTACTCACCGTAAACTGAGCAAAGTCGTCATCATTCTTAACCATATGAATCGCATATGTGTATCCATTCTTAAATTTTTTCAGTAAGGATACATATCTATTTTGTTCCCAATATTCCATCCTGGATAAGTGTGGATATGGGACCCTGGGTTCTGGGAAAGCAAATGAAGCACAGTTGTTCTTCTTCTGTGCCGGTGCTGGAGCAGGCGCCTGGCTGGAGCTCTCAACTGGCAACAGCTGTGGCTGTGAGGAGCTTGAAGTCTCAGTTTCCACCCTTTGCCTAACAGGAAGGAATGCATAAAGTGTGTAAAAACACTGCTACAAAATTCTAAGCTTATCAATAACAACAACAAATTGCATTTCCAGAGCACCTTTCACATCAGAAGGATGTCCCAAGATGCTAGATAATGAAGGGTTTGCACATGATCTGAGGGTTGGATAAAAGAGCGGAGGACATGAAGCAGGCCAGTGGGTCTGTAGAGCAGAGGATAAGGGCAGGTTGGTAAAGCTTTAGAAGGTCAGAAAGGTAGAACGGGGCAAGACCATGGAGGACAAGGATCTTGAACTCATTCCTTTGGGTGATGTGAGCCAATGTAGTCAAGACATATTTACAAATACTGTTCAGACAACCACCACTATTCAACAACAACTACTTGCATTTAAATAGCACCCTTCACACAGGGTAGTGTCCTAGAATGCTTAAAGCAGCCAGTGCTTATTCAGCAACCACCCTGGCACAATTCATGAGCCACGTTAGTACACCAACAAACCCTTACTCAGAGGCCACACTTATATAAAGGCCACTTTGGCCCAGTCACTTGAGACGTTATTGAAGACAGGTTTGACAGTAAAATAAACACTGACAAGCTAAAATGAACTTTGAGAGCCAGATTTCCTGTCTCTTTAGGTATCAGCCTGGTGCAGTCGATAGCACTCTCGCCACTTGAATGGGTTCAAGCCCAATGTCAGGGCATTGAATGTTGAGACACTTAATCAATGACTTTCTCAGGCTAGGTATACACATGCTAGACGTAAAGCTTTGGTCCCAATAATGTTACTTAACCTCCAAATCAGAAAAGCCCCACTGCCACACCAGTGTGATATCTTCTATCTCCCAAACTAAACTTCGTCATACCCTCTCTTAACCAGATTGAGCTTTCAGTTCTTCCCCCATCACCACTCCCCCGAAGCAACGGACCAATGTGATCTTCACATTATAAAAACCCTTGTGTTTGACAACATTGCTGGCCTGTACAAAGCTTTCTTGAGAGTTCAGGGAAAGTTTGTGGTCAGAAAATAACTGTATGTGCACAAATTGGTTGTCTGTTTCCATAATCATCTGATTCAGAGACGAGTGTTATAGGCTGCGCTAGGATTGTTACAGAGAGAGCATGAGAATCAATAATCCTTCGGCACAATAGAAGATGCTATAAATACTGCAATACCTTTTTGATAAAAAACACAATTCTGTGACAGTTGGAGACATGGTGTAGCGGTCGTACATTTCACGGGAAAAAAATTCCTCAATCCCATTTTTAGGTGAGCAGTCCCTGTTAAATAACATAAAGAAAGAAAATTAAACATCAATCCCAAATACACAGAAATTTAGCCCATTCTATTAAAGAAGTCTCTAACCCCAGACTCTCCGGTACCCACATCGGGAGGTGCTGTCTGGCTGACACGGGAGAGGGACAATAATAATCCTTGCATTTGATACAGCGCCTTATCACGTCTTCGAGACGTCTCAAAGCGCTTCACAGAATATACTGTAAAGGGAATTGACTGTATATTTATCAATCACTTGATAAAGGCACCACCGTGGCAGGGACTCCCCCCCGTACAAGTCAAGATGGGCACCAATGCTCCTCCTCCCTCCAGGAGCCTATCCCTCACCCCACCCCCACCCCCACCCAGGAGCCTACCCTTCATCCACAGGAGCCTACCCCTCACCACCACCCCCCCCCACACACACACACACACACACACACACACAGGAGCCTACCCCTCACCCCCCCCCCCCCCCACACACACACACAGGAGCCCACCCCTCACCCTCTCTTAGCGTCTCCCCCCCCCCTCTCTCTCGCCCCCCTTCCTTCCCTCCTCTCAACCCCTCCCCCACCGCCACTCCGCCCTCCCTCCCTTTCTCCCTCTCCCCACCACCGCTCAGCCCCAGATCCCGGCGCCAACCCAGCGTCGGCCTCGGCCTCTGCACAGACCGCCCGCCCGCCCGGGCCCCTGTCGGGAGTCGGGGCCCCTGTGGCAGCAGCTCGGGGCCCGGGATGAATCCTCACCACGACATGACCCTCGCGCGGTGCAGCAGCAAAACACGGCCCCGGGAAGGTCAGGGCCGGCGAGCAACGGTCCCGGCGAGGAACGGTCCGGCCTCGCACAGCGCACAACAGCGCCACCTGCAGCACCGGAGCAGCTCAGCAGCTGCGGGGATGTGAGACAGGATCCTCAGGCACAGTTTTGGCCCAAATGGCCATCCTTGGCCCCTGATACAGCACCACATCACGTCTTCCAGACGTCTCAAAGAGCGCTTCGCGGAACCTTACTGTGAAGTGGATGGACTGTGATATCTTGCGGGCGAAACCCCGGCAGCCGATCGCGCGCGGCGGTGTCCCGCAAACAGCCGCGGACCGGAGTGACCGATTTCCTATGTTTTTTGAAGGGGTTATTACCCCCCGGAAAAGCGATCCGCCAGTCGACTAACGGCCGGGCTCCTGTTTACCGCGAGGTAGACGGAGGCGTGGGGCGGACTAAGGAAACCTGCCCAGCGTTTCACTTCGCGCTGCCCGGGAATCGAACCCGGGTCTCTGGTTTGCGAGGCGAGCGCTCTAACCACTGAGCTACAGGACTCCACGAAGCTCATGGCCCGCCCTTTCACGGCTGAGAATTGGGAGTTCGCATGATTGGTTTGGGCGAAGAGCGGGGATTAGGAAAAACCTTTATCGCACGCGGGGGGGGGGGGGGCGCGGGGGGGGAATTTCTCTGCTGTCGGCAGTTTTTGGGGTGGCAGTGTCAAAAAAAGGAACCGCAACCGCACGCAGACACAGTTAAGAGAGAAGAGAGTTGGGGGACGTGGGGATAGGGTCAAGGATAAGCACTTGTGCGGAGTATAATCAACACCAGCTGGATTGGAAAAGACGAATGGCCTGTATCTGAGGTGTTGCCATCTTTATCCTGTGAAGCGCTTTGAGACGTCTCAATGACATGATAAGGCGTTATATCAATTGCGTGTTTTGTTATGAATCTGTGCATTTGATACCGCATCTTTTCATGTCATAGGATAACTCCCAGGTCCCATATCCCAGCTTTTTCCCTCTTCGGCCAATCCCAAGTCATCCTTCCAGAACCCCCACCCCATCAGAGCGCCAAGCTGCTTTTCAATCCATTCAAGGCTGTTGGCTTGTCTGTGTTTCTTTCTATGTGTTTGTGGATATGTGTCTCTTTCTATATCTGTTTGTGAGTGTGTGTGTGTGTGAATGCATTGGTGCCTCTCCTCTGTATGCGTATGTCTCTTCTCTATGTGTCTGTATCTGTGTGAATGTATACATGTATCTCTCTCTGAGAATGTGTGTCTGTGAGTGTGTGTCTCTCTCCCCATGTGTCTGAGCGTGTGTCCTGAGTGTTTTTTGGTGGATTTACAGGCCCTTCAGTCTGCGTTATTTCCTCATGTTTAGTTTTTGTCAATAAAGTGAAAAAATGTAGGTTGGCAGTAAAATGTACCTCAATACCACCAACGCAATTTCACGCAAGTTTTCCAAATATCCCCGCAATTTTAGGTAAATATTTCTACACTTTCCTATTGGCCCAGGTTATAACTAACAAATGACAAGTGTTCTTCTAAAGCTGGGGTTAAACACATTAATGTTTGAGTTTAAATGAACCTTTACTGGCTCAATATTGGGCAAGCAGAAGATTGGGGTAGGCTGGTGTGAAGTGATTTATTGGTGAGAGTGATTTAGGTAATCTACCTTGAAGTAGATTAGTTGGGAGTTAGTGGAGCATAATGAGGACAAGGTTGATGGGAATCCAGAGTTTGGTGCAGATGAAGATATATACAGCGGAATTTTGGAATAGCTAGAGATTATGGATGATGGGACCTAGGGAGACCTGTGTGGAGAGCATTTGGAAAGCCCTAGTCGGAAGGTAATAAAGGAGCGAAACAGCCATGAAGTGAATTGTCAATTTAACTGGAAGATTGTTGACCTGCAGGAACTCCTTTCTCTTTTTGAATACTGCAGTGGGATCTTTAATGTCCTACTAAAACACACACATGGGGCCTTGGTTTAATGACTCATCCAAAGGTTCTCAGACAATGCAGCGCTCCCCCAGTACTGCATTTGAGTGTCACCCTGGATTGTGAGCTCGAAGTCCCAGCATGGGGCTTGAATCCACTTGATGAAGAAAGCAGAATATGATGTATTTGGTAAAAATTAAATACACAATAAAAAAAAGACAGCAGGCGGGCCCCAATACAAGCAGTAATTTTATTATAGGATAAACGCACATAAAGCACATCTAAAATCGATGTGTTTAATGCACTTTTAATAAAGGTAATATTAAAGATAACAGTTTCTAAGTACAATATAACAACATTCATATTAGAATGAAAATCTGAGTATTTAAAAGACAACATTAAATCTCTTATTTTTTTACAGTTTTATTTACAAAACAAATCAAAATACTTCTTTTTATTTAGGAATCAGTAAAGGAGCAAGACTGTGCAGGATAGGCAGATTGCAGTTAGAGAAAATCTTAAAATAAGATACAGTTGTGGGAAAAGTGATACTGTCCTCCACAGCATTTTACAAGGAAGGACTGGCTTCCTCAGCCCTCAAACATATCCCAAGTCTAGTCCTTTTGCCACAGGTACCTGTGGGGTGTTCTACTCAGTGAAAATAAGGTGTCCATAGGGTGGCATAGTTTAGGAATAAAGGTATTGTTCACAAAAGCAACTTATCTAGCAACCACACACCAGAAACACAAAATAGCACACCCTAGTTTGTAACTATGGCTAAGAGAGCATATACTAAAACAGAGATATACAATTATAATAATGCAGTATTTAATAAACAGATAAATATTTGCACTGAGTAGGCTGATAATAGCAGTTCTTTCTTACCTATACAGAAACAGTTTTAAAAAGATAACTGTATACAGGTGATTACTAACATTAATATAGTGAGTGAAAAGCAGAGAAAGAGAATAGAATTTATATGGGCCATCACAAGTCCTTATTTATCAACAAAAGTAGTCAGTCATTTATAATAAAGGAAGCGATAAATAAGATTGCATTTACATGCAGGTGTTCTAAGTCTTACTATGCACAGAATGTAATTATTTTATATTATTGCTTGACGTTGTGTTATGGCTAGAGTTTTATCTATTATCATTTGTACTTTGGAGAGAAGAAAATTGCTAAGATTCCATAAAGATAGACTAATATCTTATTTGAAAGTCAACCACCTGACACTGTAATTCTGCAAATGGTAAAAGCCTTGTCTGGGGCTTGTCTATTAGGCATTTCTTTAGACTGGGAAAGTATAATACAACTTGAAAGTTTCTCGTTGGCCCAAACCCACTACACAAAAAAAATCACAGCTCCTTTGAAAGGAGTAGACAAATAACAAAGACAGAGAAAGAAGCAGCCAGTTCAAATCTGAACACATTTAACAATCACCAGTAAATCAGGCCATTGTTTGGATGAGTTTAAAAAACACAGAGCAACTAAACCAAATCTGTAGGTAAAAATATTTTCTTTTAAAAATTTCATTCATTTTCCCTGTATAAAATATTTGACTTTTTATTTATTGCTTGTGATTTAAAATCTGTTTTGCACATTAAAAGATTACTTCAGAATATTCTCAAGTTTATATGCGGCTAATAAAAAGAAACCAAATTGCAACGTTCAAATGAAAAGTTAGCAAATACTCCTATGGAAACCAGTTGGGAGGTTTAGGCGTAATAAGTTAAATGTACTAGATGCACAAATGTATCTGTATAATTCACATGAATGCACGGTAACAACTTGGTACAAAATACTGATGTAAGCATAATAATGCTGTCATACTGAGACCTTGTGTGATGAGGAATATGTGTGACGGAAGGAACTAACCTGCAGAAAAGCTTTATTGCCAAATCCATGTAAGGATTTAATCTACAGTACAACTGTGCCCAAAGATAACTTGATTATTCGCAGCTCAGAATGATTGATAACTGAACAATGCAATTGCTACATAGGTCTCAGAGCTACAGAAACTGTTAGAAAAAGCAGTCTTGTGATGTGCTGGGTTTGCCTGCAATCGAACATCACCATTGAGGTGGTAAAAGCTGCATCATTTTAGCACTCAAGAGTTGAGAAAGCCTCCAATTGCAAAATTCAGAGATTCTCACACGGTTCTGAAAAGCTTTGAGATGGGGGTAGCATTTCAAAAAGCAAATTTTGCATTTAATGGGATTGTAAACTGAAAAGCACATAAAACAAGGATTTTTTAAAAAAAAAAGGCTCAGCAGTGGTTTAAAGAGACAGTACTCAAGAGAGATTAGCTGGAGGCAGACAAACCTGAATGGTGCAACACGTATAACTTTCCTGAAAAGGTAGTTTATTTCTGTTCCAGTTATAGGTCAATCTATGGGCGGGAGTCCTATCTGTTACCACTATACAGCAAAGGATGGATGGATAGATAACTGGTGCACTGTGCAGCAGGCAAAGCGCACAGATTAATCTGAACATGAACAGTACCTTTCACTTTATAGCTTTTTGGTCAGCAATGCGTGACGCATATCTGTACACTTAATTCACTAATAAAACGAGTATTGAAAAATGATCTGTTGCTACAGGCAACCAAGCAGGTGACTGGAGTGATGAAGTGCTTCAGGTGGGACCTTTTGACCTGTGCAGGAAATGAGCTTGTATCTGGTACACTTGAAATCTGACAATTATTTAGGATGTATGCCGCAGGTGAGTATGGAATAAAATTCAGCCAACCCATCCTCCCCCATTCTAAGTCCTTCAAATTACACTGTAGCTGCATCTGGCAACTATCATCATGCATAAATACAAACAATATTCTATATAGTCTTTGTTAAAAGGCTATTAAATCAAAGGAGTAAAGTTATTCCTTCCAAATACAATAATTCTCTCTACTTCCTTTCCTAACCATCAAGTCACTGTTTTACTCCTCTGACCAGACTAGGAAGTGCTGACTTACTCAAGGATCCTGAGTTGCCATGACATCTTTTGCCTATTGAAGTAAACAGGATCATTGAGGACACCTCTCTTAGTTACACACTGTTGTCTAGGACGCAGCACTTATTCAAGCAGTAAAACCAATGTCCCTGGCAATTGATTGAACTCAGGAACTAGAAGTGCCCTGTGAGATCAATTACCATAAGCTCTTGACAGTAATGCAGTGTCATAGCAACTCACCAGGTCTGAAGGAGGGAGGGAGGCAGGCACCGTGATTGCAGAAATAAGAAATGGATGAAAAAGATAATGGAATGATGTAAAAGGGGGTTGTCAACTAATAATTGCCACAGCTTTCACATCATCTTTACATTCCTGATAAGTGGACAAGCAAGCATGAACAAGTGGGTTTCTTGTGCGTTGCAAAAGCATAATCCTGTGGGAAAATCATGTTTAATTTTGTAGCCAGGTGCATTTTCTGTTCCTCCCCCTGTGCCACTACAGCATATTGTCCATATTCTGAGGATGATCAGATTATGCAAAAGTGGAATAGATGCTGAGCAGCTTTCCTCCTCTTTTTACTTCCCCCTTAAAAATTATGGCCGATCAGGTATCTAAGGTGAGAGCTGGGCACATTTGTTGTTGTAAATTTACAATTTACATATTGTAAATACTGAACACAAAAAGAACACAGTTTAGAACTGCACACACAAAAGATTTCTTAATGCATACAGGGAATTGCAAGGTGTGGTGGCAGAATGCAGATAGCTGTCGCATTATCGCTCAACCCATCCCCTTTCACTCCCAAAACCTCTCTTCTCCTGCGTATACTGGCTGGTCTGGATCTTGGGCACCATTTCTCTGCCCAACACTTGCAAACGGGGTCCTAGTTTATGCTTATGGGGGGAGGTAGACAGGAAATACCAACACGACCACAGAGCTCGTGTTGCAATTGTGCTTGTAAGGATATAGTGGGTACTCTCTCTTTACGATGCAGTGTAATACACTCATTACAGATGGTAGGAACACACCCAGCGGGTGAGGCAGTAAGAGTCAAAGGGGAGAGTCTTGAATTTGTGTCATGATAAGTTGATTGATAAAGATCACAATGTATTCTTTGGCAGTGTTCCATAGGAGTCTTCACTAACGGTTTTCATGCTATAAAACTGTATTGTAAATACTGTTGTGTCTCAACCATCTGTCTACAGCTTTTAAGAGGCTTTCAAACACTTTTACTTTAAGAAGTACAGTCAATTTCCATCTTCATAGGGTTTGCATGTAATTGCTGTGTTTTAACTGTTGCAAGAAATACTGGCCATTCCATACCCTCTTTAAAATCTTTACATTATCCCTGAGCAAAAATTTCAACTCCTTGAACCAGCCTCGGTTTCGCTTCCTAGGTCTCCTATCGTTTAGTTATAACTCTGGATTGTCATTCACAGCTACAGCATTCATAAGGTGCATCTCAAAAAACTAAATAAAACAAAAAAGTAACGATTGGTGTTTAAGCATTTCAAGCAAACAGTGGCCTCACTGCAGGATCAAGACTGGCTGCCTCACACACAAATGACCAAGTGATCCAGTCAACATCCCTTAGCAAAATAAGAGACTGTACAAACATATGGTTTTCTTCCCTGAGGGATTAAATGTACACCCGCAAGTGCCCTATGTACATATTGCACTACAGAGGAATGAAGTAAATGTGCAAAAAGCAACAGTGATACAGGCTAGCTACTCAAACACTTACAAATGCTTTCCTTAGACATTTCTACATTTTTGTATGTACTTTTTTTTGGAATGTTGTTTCACAAAGAAACCACCATTTCAAGGTTAAAAGGTTTTTCCTTGTTATCAGTTATCAGAAAAAAAACACTGACACTATGGCACATTAGATGAAAAGATTTTGCTAGACAGAATCAGACATATTATCGCAAGAAAATAATACCAAGCTTTTAGAAAATAACATTTCTTTCTATCATTGTCTCGCATTACAAAAAATGTTTTCTCTTACACAAATCACATCTTTATTTTTATTTTTTTATTGCAGGAATAGTTTAAGTGCTTCCTAATATTTATACGAGGGTTATAAAAATAGAACTCTCTCTCTAAAGTGGTCCAGACAAGGCTTTGTATATTATAAATCATTTGATTCCTTCACTTTGCTTGACCATAGTATTCTTTATCTGAATCAATGACACATGACAGCTTTGAAGCAGCCACACAGACTTATGCAACTTGGAGTGAGTTTGTAAACCAAACAAAGTGTGCTGACATTCTACTGTACACAAGACAAATAACCTAAAGAAACAGCAGCATCCAAAACGCCCACCTCCCCTCCATAAACGTAAATGTTAAACTTGTATTTCTTGTGCACGTGCATTAAGAGAACTAATAAATACATGAACATAACACGTACAAATTGAAAAAAAGGTGCTTAAAAAGTAGATTCGTACATCAACATTAAAATGACATACCAACCATCGCTAAAAGTTATTTTCAATGTTATATTCAGTGTATTTTGTCCATATACCCTGTAATACGTTTGCTCTAAATTAGTTTCTCAGCATTATAATGCCATCGTACTTTTGTGCTCTATAGAAATTATATGCATGAGAAAAACAAGTTCAACTTCCGCTAGGAAGCTAATATTAATTCACCCCCCGCCCTCCCCCCCAACAAAAAGTAATGTGCAGCGTGTTTGCTCTCCTGGTCTGTGCATGGGCACTGCAGTGTAGCCACGTAAAGTGTCTTCAATTTATTCAATGACTGTACTTCAAGTTTTCTGAAGTTCTCTGGTGATAAAGTTTACCCTTCTGTCGCCATCGTCTGCTCAAACTCCGAGCTAAACAGCTCCTTATACAACGGAGGGAAATGGGCCCGTACAATGTCTGGGTGTATTGCTTTGAATGAAGTCAGCTTTTCAGTGTGTCGATTACATAACGCTCGTAAGGTAGACACTTTAGATAACAACTGCAGAGAGAAAGAAAAATACATTTAGAACATCTGTAGTTTTGTAAATATGTAAATAGAGCCTTCAGTAGGCTCGCAATCAAGATTCACTTTCTTCAGTCAACATAGTGTAATCATTGTGTTTATCAAGATGTCAATGCCCTGTAAGACACTTTAGCAATTCTCCTTTTACACTCCATTTTGTCACCTCCATATGAAAATACTCTGATAAATATAATAATAAACCTGGCATTTGATATAGTGCCTTTCACATCGGGAAACAAGTCAAAGCGCTTCCCTGGATTCACCCTAAAGCGTAGTGACTGCAGGCAAATGTGACAGGGCAATTGGGGAGGGGCAGGGAAGGTAGGTCAAAACCATCAATAGCTGATACAAAACAGAATATAAAACTGAAGTTACAGGAGTATGAAGTGGTCACACATTAGTCTCCACTTTTTCCTGAACCTTTCTGCAGTTCCACATTATGTCTCTAGATGACACTATTGCAATTTCATGCTTAAAGATCAGTGCCAGGACTGCCAGCGATTCACTGGATAAACTCACTGAGAACATTGGGAGTGCTAAAATCTGGATTTATTAATCTCATGATAACGCAGAACAAGTTTCATATTAGAACATAAGAATTGCTAGCTGAAAAAAAGAGCACGGTCCATCTAGTTTGCCTTCCACCTTCCTGGCGATTGCATGCACATATGTTCCGAACTACCTATGTACTATATCCCATAATGTTATTTCCCTAAAAGAAAACTATCTAATCTGACAATATTATTGTACATGTCTACAGAAAGCAGAGTGAATGCCCTCTCGAGTTGTATCCTGCAATGCCAACTGAATGCAACATTTTTGTCATCTCACTATATAAGATTGCATTTGATTAATAATGGAATACTTACAGAAATTTCAATAGTAGTTCATACCGTGTCAATCTGGCACATCCGAATACTAGCTTTACTTTCTATTTTATTTCAATGAGGCAGCTTACAGAGGCAGTCATTTATTTTCTCTGAAGCTTCACTGTTGGAAGTTCATCCTGTTTACCAACATGAGGAATGAACTGCACTACTCATCATTGTGAAGGGAAATCAATGCATCTCTGTAACATTAGGAGACTAATAGCAGGATAATAATTTATATTAACTGCTTTGGCTGACAAGCACAAGTGTCCACTGCAGGGAGATGGGTTTTTTCTAGAAGACCATAAGGTTATGTCAGTCCCCGAAGAGTAATTGCAACTTGTCAATGGTGAGCTAATGCACATACACAGAGATAACAAAAAAGGGGGAAAAAAATCGCTAAGAATTGACATTGCATTGATTTAATCAAACCTTCAATTACAATCTGTCATTATGAAGCACATTTGTGGTACAGTTATGGGACTGTGACACCACAGAACAATGTCTCACTGTTACTGACTCACTGTCCCAGGACTTGTATTTGGACAGCCTAGAATAATGCAGTCTCTGTTTCCGAGACAGTATTTGGCCGTTGGGAGGGAGTGCAACATTAATTCCAGAATTTAGAAGGAAGAACAATGTGGAAAGTTTGGCAACCCTAAACTTTCATTCTTGAATTGAGAAAATGGAAGGGGACTTGATAGCCATATTTAAGTTTATGAAGGATTTGGGTAATTTGAATTCACAAAGGATCACGTCTTCAAAATAAGAAGGAAAGGAAGAAGGAAGCACAAAGATTCAAGGCACCTTTTCACTTTAAAATGCCTCAAAGCAGTTCACAGGTAATTACTGTCAAGTAAGATGATTTTCTTTTGAAAAAGGAAATGCAGCTGTCATTTGCATCAAGACGTCACACAAATAACCACAGAGTGAAGTATTAATTAATCTGAAGGATTGTTGGCCAGGACACTGGAAGAAACTCCCTTCTCTTATCAAATAATGTCACAGGATCTTTAACATCCCCCTGAAGAACAGACAGGCCTGACCGCATTTTTGTTAATGTCTCATCCGAAGACTATCAACTCTGATCGTGAAGAACTCCCCCAGGGCTTCAGGGGATTGTCCATCTTGACTGTTAAAGTCCCAAATTGGGGCTTGAATGCACAATCTTCTGAGTCAGAGGCAGGTCCATCAAACTCCCTGTGCCCATGTGTTAGCTTATGTTGCAGACCACCCGAGTGCTTAGAGAAGTGAAAGACGGATTCGTGGCTGTCGGGTTACCTTTGTCAGGATCCCATCCTCTCTATGATTTTTTTGCAGAACATGTTGGAGTGTCAACTGGATTTTCTGTTGAAGTTTCTCAACTTTCACTTTCTCCTGAAGCCACAGACGATCTAGGAAGAGAATTTGATTACAGAAAGCGTCAGAGCTTCCCGTGGGATTCTTACATGGGTTTTGGCTGCTCTTACTGGGATAGATCGTTCCTCAGACAAGCATGGTACCAACACCAATTTAAATCTTCTGAACCGTACAGTGTCCCTACTCTGGAAGAGATAACAAATTAGACTGAGACATTGCAAATTAACTTCCATCTCCCAAGTAACAAGCGAATGTTCCAGTGGAATAGCGAGTCTTTCACTTACAGATCCTCTGTTCAGACTAGTGTCAATCCAATGAATTATAAACAGTCAGTTCTCTGACTGTCTCATTCTCCCTTCAACATGTCCTTATTCATTAGTATAAGACAAGGTCACATTTTTGTCATTTTCCTAACCACTGTCACTCTTTGACACTGACATAATGGATCTTCCCATTATAGGTGCGGATCGTCAAAGTCGCTACTCTTCGTGGCAAGAGGAATTTCTCAGCCGAGATGTTCTGACACTTTACACTTTATGATCATTCTCTTGTCCCATTAGGCAGATATAAATGTGTGCTGCCCCCTCTGAATGAGCCATGCAATCAAACAGAACTGCAATATCTGTCACTGCAAACAGTGACTGATGGATCCTGCTGAGACTTTTATTGAAAAGTAATTCATTCTGAATGCTTCTTGGAGGACAATGACATGATACTGGGGCGATACCCTGCTCCATTCACTATCAAAATAAAAGAGAGGCAGGAATTCAGTGTATTTCACAGGTAAGGGAAACCTATGGAAACTCTGGACTTCTTCACAGTTGTAGCTCAGCAGAGCCGAGACTTAACCTGCACATCATTATTTTGGGGGCTTTAGGATCCTGCGGGTAGTGCTCCTGGTAACTGCACGTTTCTGGGCCAATTGACCTTAAACCTCTTTATGTTCTCTGTAATAACTATGCCATGCTGTGCTCTTATTATCTCACTGTGTGTGTGTAAGTGACGCACGAGGCACTTGAAAACAGCCAAAAAACCTTTCAACCCAGAGTGAATTCCCTGGGTGGGCTAATCAATTGCTACCAATATAGGAAACTTAAAAAGGCCAAGAAGTGGGGGTGGTACCAGACCCCACACGGCAGGTTACTACTTCAGGTGTTTGGTCAGAAGATGCATCCAATGGAGGCTGAATGCATCATCAGAGGGAAGAACCTAACATCAAAGGCTTCCTTACACATCTTCTTGTGACTAGTGCAATAGGGCGAAAGTAGCCACAGGTTTTTGGCTAAAAGCTTTCTGTGCGTCATACGGGAAATAAAAGGAAAGAGTTTCTTAGAAGGTAAACTACAAGAAGAGGAAAAAATCAATAAAAAGACACAGAAGAGAAATTGTTTAGTAAGACGCTCACCTGCAGAGATCAGCACATAAGCAGAAAACAAGGCAATCTCATCCTCCCCTAGGTGCAACGAACACAAGCTTTTACCAAATTCAAAAATGGAGCTGATCAAGTCATCACAACCTGCCAGGAGAAGGGAATAAAGAGCAATGTGAAAATGACAGGCAAACCACATCACCCAACGAAAATCAAACTTGCCTTGGGATAAATTTGCAGGTGTATGTACAAATGTTGGACGTATTAGCTCAAATCAAGCCTTCACTTTGTTGAAAGAAAGAAAGAAGTCATTTCATAATGTTCAGCGATACAGGTTGATGGATGGTGAAGATGCCTTCTTGGAAACCACACCGTGATTTATGAAGCATTTCTCATTCATGATATTTCAAATGCCCAAGAAACTGGATGTAACAGAACAATTATTTTCACGCTTTTGTATGCATTTCTGCCAAATCAGCCTACAAATCCTGTCTAATAGACATGACTGTATAACCCAAAATATATCATTAAAGAGAAAACGCTCGGCTCATAGCCAGAGTATAGACTGACATGAGAGACATAAAATATGTTTTGTTGGTTGGATACATTAGGGACGAGGAGTCTTGGAACAATTGAACTTTCTCCATACAAACTCTGGATCATCTCGGATAGCTCCTATTATCCAATTTTAATAGTTTTGTAATGGTGTTTTTCTGTGTGCCAGTTGTGAACTCTGGATCAGTTTTGCGCTATGTGTTCATGGGAGATGTATTTAAAGCAGCTGCATGCATTTTTCACTTTACTCCATAAAGCGGTCAGAGAAAAGAGTTCATCATCTCCCTCTGTCTCTATTGTGATCTCCTAAGAGCAGTGAATTGAATTGAAAATCAAAAAAAATTCCCAGCTGAACCACCAGCTTCATTTGTGAATTGTTCATGTTTGATTTTCCTCATCTCTTTTTTTAAAATCCCCCCAAAATACAACAGCAAATCCATAGCAAAGCATGTGGCAACCAGATCTACTCTTTTCTAAAAGAATCAGACTGCAACACAACTCTGAAACCACTTTTAATATTTCATGAGTGCGGAATAAGAAATGGTGTTACTTTACCTAATGATTTGAAAACGTCTGGACCAGCGTACTTTCCATCAAAATACACAGTACTGTTCTGTGGGTCAAAGGCACGACACATTCTGACAAACACAACTTCCAAAGAACCTGAATAAATGAGAAAGAGTCACCATTCAAAACTGGCTTTAGTGACACATCTGTACAAGAAGAAAGCAACTTGGATCTGAGCTGCCAATCCGAGCCTATCTAAAGTTAACAATTAATATAGGTAAAAACAGCTAGTGCAAGGGCAGTGCCATTGAGTAATGTTCAGTGTTGCATGGCCACTATATCAGACAAGCAGGGCATGATTGGATCTAAATAAATAATGGTTCACCCTTTGTGCAGGGTTTTCAGACACTTGCGTCACAAGTCTGGGGAGAATGGTTGTAAATTCCAGGGCGGTCTGACATTTCAAACTGACAGCCAGACTTGTGAAGAGTTTTGTCAATTGCTGACTGGGTCAAGACAGTTGTCTTGACATGCCTGAAAGTCTCTATTGATAGGACAGAGTGAGGGGAGACAAGAGCAAGACGGAATAAAAGATTAGAAACCCTGCATCTGTAAAAAGCGGCTCCAATGATTGCAGAGCAAGCAGTTACATTGCTACCAATAGCTATAACTCACTAGCCACCCCCTCCCCACACAAAAACAGAACTGCACTAAATGTCATTGCGGGAATGGAAAGGATACAAAAATTATAGTGAGGTAAGACAAGAAAATAAAGATACATCAAATAGCTTCCAAATTTAACCAATTCTGAAGTTCACTTCAATAATTTGATTATTTTATTATTTAAAGTAAAATGTCTTTCAATTGTAATAGTTGCTCTCACAGAAAGCAATAATTTTCCTCAGCAAATACTTCTGGAGTCAGAAACTCAAAATCCCTTCATTTCAACAAAGAGTAGCAAAACAATTTTTCAGTTGTCTAATAATATACAGTCAATTCACTTTACAGTGTGTTCTGTGAAGCGCTTTGGGATGTCCTCCCGATGTGAAAAGTGCTATATCAAATGCAAGGATTATTATTATTATAAGGTGTATAATTTTCACTTGTAATGCAAAATCCCTGAGTTTCAAGGGCAAGCAGTGATTTTAGGTGTACTCTGAATTTAAAAATGACAAGCCTGCTAATGCTTTGTAAAACTCCTACGAATGTGTCTCCTAAAGGAAAATACAGATATGAAAAGGAATTATATATAATTTTAATATTCTTTGCTTCACAGTTTATTTATTGTTGAGCCGTTAACTAACTGAAGTGAATGTGCTTATCGATAGCATTGGATGAAATATCTAGTCTGTCAAGATAAGAGACTGGATGGCAATAGACAATAGGATTGATGTTCAGTTCTACAAACAACCCCCCCTTCCTACATGCATAATGTTTAAACCCCAGCTAGCAGCAAATCATACGTTTCTGCTGCTACAGGGATTCTGCAAATTGCCATGTGGATGATCAGAACTTCATTGATGCAACTACCATTTTTTTCTTCTGTGATAACAGGAGGTAGTAACTAGGAAAGCATCACATTCTACTACAATTGGCACTGCCACACACTGAGCCTCTAATTAACTGAAGCTTTTAAACATGCTTTAACTACAGGAGTGCAATAATAATAATAATCTTTGCATTGCAGCATAACTGAAAGAAAATGGCCCTCTCTCTTAATTTAATTTTTTTGCGATATCTGAATCCATTTCTGTCTAAACCTCAATATATTTTCAGTAAATGATAATGTTCCCCTAATCTCTGAAATTAAATGGGAATGCAAATGATTACAACACAGATGCAGACCCAGCAAGAATGCACTGGTGCCTTTCTCTGTATTACACACCTAATCGTAGCCCATCCGCCTGCTCATTGCTTGTACGCTTTAATATTCATTGTAATTCTCTAATAAATGAACTCAGACAATGAAAGTAATGCTGAGTCATTAAATAATCTGGTCACTAAATATTGTGCCAGGTGTTGCAATTGTTGTAGGTCTGAGCTGCTGAAGCTTTACACTGGGCTATTCGGGGTCAGAGAATTCTCCTCGACAAACAGCACAGTCACAGAAGCAACAGTATCTTCGTGAAAGGGATATTAGGAGTCATGCATACATTTTTGAAGAGACCCACCCAATAAAAACAGCCCAGAGGTAACCTAATGTAATGAACAGCTGATGTTACTTGAGTGGATTTTTGAACCTGTCTGTCATCGCTAACTAATAGTGAAGCTGAACATGTACACAACTCTGTTGGGGAAGATTCCTGTGAGTCTAAACAGGCAGTTGTAGGACTATGTCTGCACATCGGTTAAATCATTTCAGACACGTACAATTTTTCTGAGTAACTGCAGGATCTCAAAGGGATGGTAAACCGCAGGCAAACGGGAAAGATTATGAATTCTGTGGTGAGTTTAGTATGTGTCTAACTCAGCAGTGCTACCACTACATTTTTAAAAATAATTATTGAATTTATTGATGTAATTGAAGATGAAAAAAGGCCATTAGTCTTAAAATTTAAGATTGCACTGAATTGTCAACATTTTTTAAAATTGAGTCTAAATTAGGAACCCTGCTGTTCTGTTCTACTGTTCTTAAAAAGAACCAGTTGCAAAATAAGGTTATATTTAATAATCTTCCATGATTCTGCGCAATCTCAACTGTGTAAACTAAATCATCTTGCAGGCTAAGGTGGCTGCAGAAAGTGCAATATCAGGGTATATAGTTCCATAGAATATAAATCCAAGTCAATGAGGAGGCACATAAATCAGTGGCACCAAAATTAAATAGAAAGCTAGGGACAGGAAAAATGGTAAAGATGGCACTAGAGTTTTGTTTCACTGAGCCACAGAGACATAATCTACTCTCATGAGGAAAAACGTTCTGAAGATAATTGCTATGTTTGTAAATAATGAAGGGAAGTGATGGAGGAATGGATTAAACAAAATTATGTGCTATCGTCAAAAAGAGAGAACTAAGAAGCATAATTTAAAGCTGATGGAGCCAAGAACTAAATTTAATAATAGGATTAATGTCTTCTGCCTCTCCACTTGGGGCAGTTAACGTGTGAGTAAATTACCGTGTTGTGAATTAAATAAGATTCCCATTAAAATATTCAGTGTGAAGAGTCTATATCACACAGCAAACCAAATGGTCTTTTTCGTATCCCTGCGCAATCTTTATGATAAGTCACAACTTGTGGATAACTTACAAGGCTTTAAGATTTGTCCATTAATCTAGTAGCTTAATAACCTAAAAAATGTACAACTTGTACAATCAGAAAAATACCTCACTGCTTTATTTCTAATCATAGTTGCCAATGTTCCTTCCTACAAATAATCCTGATAGCCTCAACCAAAGCTGAGGCACATTCAGTCCTGTCGCTGCTTGTAGCAGGAACTAACTGGATGACAATGTTCTACTGGTGCAGATTTGGGGCTTTCTTTTTAAATGTCAGAGTGGTTGTTGGTAGAATTCTGCTGAAGACCTGTGCTGCAGCTGGTTGTTGTAAAAATGTGCTGGGCCATAAAGGAGCATGACATGGGTACATGCCTGTGATTCCCCATAAGTTAAGCTTCTGACCTGGGCTGTTTGCAAGAAATCACAAGAATGGAAACTGGGAATAGAAATAAGAAAAAAGCAACGGACACATCAATCTGTACATGGCAACCGACAAGTGCCTGGAAGCATGTCGTCTGGCTACAGTGAGACTTTTGTTTTTTAAAAAAGAGAAGGAAAATACAAAACTGGGGAAAACGTAGAAATCGACCATTGCAGAAATGCAAAGGCCACAATTTAATCACTAGCAAGTGTTTGGATATCTAATGCCACAGCTGTTGGCTTTGCAGTATGTATGAGTGTGTTCACTTATTGCTTGGAGCTTCTCAGCAGTCATGTGGTGCAGCATTTGGAAAGCTTTACAGGAGGTGATGAAATGGGATCAGACTGGATTCGCTCAACTCCAATGTGGAGTGGGTTTAGAAACACAAAGTACTGGCTGTCAGCAATATCCCGAACAATGCCTACCACGTGTGTTCAGGATCCTGCATATAAATTAACAATGCTGCTGATATGCTTCCCACAGTCCACTTTTCAACATTCCCAGTAGTTATTTCTGTTTCCATTTGCATGCCATGTGTTTCATATATTAACATTCCAGATCAAGAAAAACTGCTCGCAAATGTTGGCCCTGCGCACTAAATGCATCCGCCTTCTAATAACGCAAAAGTAACTGGAAAGGATTCGATACCTGCTTTCAGAAGTACAATCTGATCATTTTGACACAGTTCCATGAATCCATCAATGCGCTTGGCAAACTCAACCACATACTGAATTGCTTCTGTTATTTTGATTGCACACAACTGCCACATCACCTCCCTGGGCTGTACAAGAGGATTATGATGTTAAGTTGAAGATTTGATTCAGAAAATAACGTTTGTTACTGCAAGACATTTAGATTTTGAACAGAAAATACATTTCTTTCCTCCTACCTTATTTTGGTAGATTTCAATTTCTTCTTGAACGTAGGTTTGCCATGTTATCTGCTGTAGTTCTTCCCGCAAGTATTGACACGTTTCGATGTGCGACTTTGAAATATTCTGTGCAAGGTGTTCTAGAGGACAAATATTCATGAATTAAGAGCAAATAGATAAAGCCACGACAAAAGGACGGGCAATTTAATAGTGTTACACCAGTGTTACACACGAGTCTGGGTATGATAGGAAAGAAACAGAAGGGGAGGGAAAGAAAGAGAGGGAGGGTGAAAGACAAAGTTAGTTTGTCCTATGAGCTTTCAAAATAATTTCAACAGTTTGTAACATTTAAATAGGAAGCATCAAAAAGAAGAAATTTGCAAAAAAAGAATATAATCAAAAGTGCTTAGCACCAGGCTCAGTAATGCTTTAAACAAGCTGTAAAATCAGAATTTATATTCAAATAGCACTAAAGAGAATTTTTCATCAGGAATGCTCATCTCAGTCATAAACATGAGTTATCTGGGCAGTGACCTTAAACTGAACAGTACAAACGGCCATCTAATAGAATGGATTTTCTTGTTGAATTCACTTAATTTAATTTGATAACCGATAATAAATGACAAAGCAGCTCTCAGAATTTCTCCTTACTGATCATTATACCATCCAAGGACCCATGTGTACAGTGCGGACATTTAGGAGAGTTCAGAACTGACTCGGGAACAGCTGAATGGGCAGGTGGAGCAAAAGCCTTTCTCGTGAGGACATCTCATTCGTGTTGTGCGAATCTCGGTGAGGGTGAAAGAAGGCAATGCCAATGTGCGGATCGTGATAGAAACATAGAAATATACAGGGCCAGAAACAAATTTGAAGCAATCCACATAATACATTACTACATAAAGTAGTATTCCTTTTTCGAAAGTGATAAAGTTGCCAACACTTTGCCACATTGTGAGGTCAATCACTTTACAGTATATTCTGTGAAACACTGTGAAATGTCTCAACAATGTGATAAGGCGCTATATCAAATGCAAGGCTTATTCTTATAATATTCTAAACCAGGATTCAAAAACAGTGTCAAAAAATCTTCAAAAATTGTACAGGAACAGAATTCACAAAGCCTAAATCTCAGTCCACATTTGGACAAGAATCATATTTACAAAAGTCTGCTGCTTGTTTAACCAAAGGGCATCAGATTTCACAGGAGGGCTATTTGCTCCTTTTAGCCCCTCCTACACATGCACAAGGCACTAACCTTTTGCTCCTACAGCAGCAGGTCTGCAGTCTGTTCGGGCAAGGGAAGGGGAGGAGGAGGCTGCCGGCAGATGGCAGCTGAAACTGAGATTGATTAAAATAAAAGACATTTTATGATTTATTTTTCATTCAGGTTGTCTGGTTAAATCCCTGATAAACTGGTCAATGAGATGCACTCGAAAGAGATTCTGGGAGACCGTTTGTGAATGGTATGTCTTTGCTTGGGAGGGAGGGGGGAAGAGGGAGGTTTCTAAAGTCTCTTCTACGTCCAACTATTCAATGTTATTTCTGATCTAGTTCATTTGAAGAGCCAGGAGTCTGAATCTGAGATGGCATGAGGAAATACTATTAATGGATCAGTTCTCGGCAGGTGAAAGTATACAATGGCACAAATCATTAGTCTGCTCCTGATCCAGATCTGGGAGCTTTTGAAAATGCATATATATTTAAAACCAACTCACTGCAATGTCTATTTATTGCAGTGCAGCTATTAGTAAATTCCTGTTCACCAGAAGAGCAACTTACCGAGTTCTGCCATGGAAACAGTCGGAGATGTTTCACCGTTTGTAAAGGAGCAATAAGGAAAGAAATCTGGCACAGCCGTGTATTCACATATGGGTTCCTGTTTAATACCATTGATATCTAGGCCAGATTGGTCTGGCGATGGCTGGATGTCCAAATAGAAGTTGTTCATTCCTGAGTCTGCTTTGCCCACATCCGGTGTGTGCCCATCCATGTACAGATTGCTAAGGTCATTGTTCAGTTCTGTCAGCCCATTGGTGATACCATTGTACGTTGGTGTCAGTGGTTCTGCCTCGCCGGGTTGCTGCTGGTGTTCCCGCTGTTGCTGTTGCATGCGATGCTTTTGTACTTCTGCATAGAGACTGTCCCTCTGCTTCTTAGACATTCGACCAAACTTTACAGCTGCAAGAAAGAACACATTGCTCCATCTGAGACAAGCTTGTCGGCTTACAGGATTTACGAAAACCACCCCAAAACATAGTCAATTCACCGTGGAGCACTTTGAGACGTCTCGAAGATATGATAAGGGGTTATATCAAATGCAAGGATTATTATTATATTCAAAGCATGAGGACAAAACACTGTACAAAGTGCAAATAAACTGGAGAATTGTTATCAACAAGATCAGCTGAACTTAGTCACATTATCATTTAATTCTCGCCCCCACCCCCACCCCATTTTATTCTAAAAATCAGCATAAATTATGGAGTTCTGCAGAAGGTTCACAACCCCTCCTTGCTCCCTGCTCCCCATACAATGATTGATTTTTACCCACATTCAGCACATTCACTTACTTTGCACCCTCACACCCACTCCAACACACAAGAGAAAAGTTGGAGTAATGCACTATTCTACTCAGTGAAAATGACAAGAACTTTTGGCATCTCAGTATGATTTTGCGCCTCTGGACAAGGGTAATTCATGACAATGTTACAATATACGATGCTGAGAATTACCTTATCGAGCTGTCGCTCAGAGAAGAAAGCCCAAGTTAGATAAACATAGAGACATTCACTCTTCTCCTCCCGCCTGTTTTACAACAGCCAGGCAAGGAAGCAGCTAGAGAACATAGTGGAACATAGTTGAATGAGGCAAAACAATTAGGGACCCATTATATAGAGAAAGAGAGACTTTGCTTCTCACTGCAATGGCTGGCAGCAAGTTTCAAAAAAAAGCACAATAGTCGGAACATGTTTAAATAATTGCGATATTTATTCATGTATAATTGTTAACGGCCACAGTGGTGCAAAAGATACACAGTTTATAGCAGGTTATTTCGAAAAAAAAAATTTTTAAAAACACACAGAACTATAAAAAAAAGTTTGTGTGTGTATTTGTGTAGTTAAATCTAGTCAATTGTATGTACTTCACGAAGCTTTCCTTTTCGCATCTTATTAGTGCCCTGGAACTAGAGTGTGATTAATCACTTGGCTTGGGTGGGACAAGAGTGACTAGCAGAGCCAACCCTGGCGAAGTTGGCACAGAGGTCCATCTGGCACAGAATGCCCAACCTGCGCCCACACCTCTCACCGAGGAGGCAGCAGAAAAATCGGTGACACTGACTGAGCGACAGTGAACTCGGGCTGAGTGAGCTCAGTGCTCACTCTGACACACCCACTCTCCGGTGCACTCACACGCCTACAAATGGGATGCATCAGCCAAGTCACAGCAGTTTATGCAAGAACCCAAAGAAGTGGCTCAAAACTAGCAGTTGACTTCCCGGAGAAAAGCAGTCTTCAAAGATTTGTTCTATTAGGGATTGGCCAGCCCTGGGCTAAGGGGATCCAGTACTGTGCTGGTGGAAAATCGTGGTTCTACTGAGTCAGGTCCATCCTGTCCTCTTGTGCTGCTTGTTATTCCCATTTGTGTTGTGGCCTACTTGCTTGACATCGAATCCACATCTAGAAGAGCAAAACACAACACGTTGCTAGAAGATTTTTTAATTGAAAGAGTGTGAGATAACATAATATCTATTCTAAATACACTAAATAAAAGCATACCCAATCTTGAAAACAACCTAGTGTTTCTTTTACTATCTTGTAGTTCTGTTCCGCTATCGATGCTCCAAAACCTTTGGATCATCTTGAACTGGAAGACATGAAAATACCACCGTGAGCCTAAGGGAGCAAGCAGGGGTCCCCTTCAGCTCCTCCACCCACACCTTTGAGGTACACAGAAGGTACACAGAGCGTCATCTGAGGGATCAGTGTATTTGGTTTGGAGCAGATTGGCTTCAACACAATTACATCCTTGCATCAATATGCCCACAGTTGACTAGGCACAGTTAGCAGGGTTGTTTGGCAATCTGTTAATAACAGAAGCCCAGATCTGCCACCCTTCTTGATGCAGCTCGGGCAGTTGCCAGTCAAACCTCCTTGGATCTCTCGAGCAACCAGACTAAAGGGATTGTCGGACAATCTTCAGTTGCACTATGGCTGATATGAAGCCACTGTTCCTTTGGAAAATCCTTGATGGGATTCTTGCTACTTTCAGCATGATTTACATGATTCTACAAAGATAATGTATAATGTTCACCTACAAATTACACAATCGCTGCACTTTCCTGTGAAACATTTGTAGACGTCCTCCCGACGTGAAAGATGCTGTATCAAATGCAAGGATTATTTTATTATTTATTATTATAATAATGCAGTTATCTTCAAGCCTTTTTGTTTAAATCATATAAGAATAGCAAGGGAATTGATTTACCTTTTAAATGAAGTCTTGGTAAATAGTGAGGTGATTTTCATCCCTTCTGCATCCAGTCCCTTTATATCAATGGCAGAAACAGGTTACCAAATAAAGAAAGATGCAGTCGGTGGTGCAAGTCGCCATGTGTCCAGTGCTTCCTCTGCCTGCAGTAATCTGAAAAATTGCTGCATCTCATTTCTTTTCTGCACGTATGTAAAAAGTGGTTTGCACATGCACACACCTCAAACTGGGGTTGTTTGTTAGCATCAGGAGTTGGAGGCCTGGATGATGTCCCTTCTTTAACCGAGCATTCGCAAAGCCATCTTACAATGCATACAGTGTCGACTCAGCTGAGACCAGCTAATTTAGCACAGACCTGGGCTTCCCCGGTCTGTACAGCTTAGCTATTCATTGGATAAGATCAGTGAACGACTAGGGTAGACCAAGAGTGGTCAACAGCAAAACTCCCTCATTAAACATTTAGTAATATTGGTTTATACGTTACTTCACTCCTGAGCAGTCCTTATAAAAGGCAGCTTTGTAAACACCAAGGCCTGACATTCCTTCTCTAGTAATCTGGGCCACACAGTTTTGAATTGGATCCTGATAAAGCTGCATCAGCAGTCAGCATTATACCTCCTGAGCAACAGCAATGCGATTTCTCAGAGAACATATCAGTCACTGACAATGTTTCTACGATAATAAATATTTCATGCTTCAGAACCACTTACTGAGCCACTGGCTTCCTCCAAATACCAGAAATGCAGTTGTGGAGCAGAAGTCAAAGTGAGAATGGAACTTATAGAAAAGGCTAATTTTTGGCTAGGAAGCTGCAAGTGTAGAGAGTATCAGACACCAGGTGGTAAGAGCCAAGGCTTGGACACCCCAGAGTGTGCATTGAGGTACTGCTGGAATGTGAACAGATAAAAACACAAAGCTTGCTATTGAGAGCACTGTCTGGCAAGTTTCCCGCTGCTATGCCTAGCTAGGACATCCCTACTGGTTATGGCTTTGGCTTGCAGAGCTCACGGGAGCTGAGTGGGAAGAATACCTGCACCCAGTCTGCCCTTTCAAGTTCTGCCAATGAGCCAGGCTGCAGGTATGTTTGGAGCTGTGCGTTGTGCCAGCTTTGGCCTGCTTTGGACACTTGGCTCCCCAAATGCACAGGGATTGCCAACCATAGAACACAATGTGATAATCATATTTTCAAATAGAGGCTGATAGCACTAAACTTTATGAAGCACAGGCAGGGCATGTTACAAAGTCACATAGCATTCAATCAGATGTCACTGGAAGGCAGGTTGGGTCATGTGAAGATTCGCCTACAAATACAGTCCATTTTACAGTATATCCTGTGAAGCGCTTTGAGACGTCTCAACAACGTGATACAGCTACATAAAACGTAAGGATTATTATTATTAACTCCACCACTAAGTTACAGTGCACTATTTCTTACACAGCTAATGAAATGGAGAAGTGGTTGTTTTCATTGTAATTGCCTTGTGAGGTTGTGCTGTCTGCAAATAGGCAGGACACAGCCAGAATAGGAACATCTCTCATGAATGCTCCCAATGCTGCTATAGAGGTGTTGTGGTCAATACTCCGAGATTTAATCAGAGCCAGTTTCAACTTTCTTGGAGAAGGACTACACAAGCCCCTTGAAGGATAGATGCCGAATCCTCAGATGCCACTGCAACAATTCTGGAACATGATAAAGCTCTAAACAAGTGATAGCAGGCAGCATTTCTGATAGCACCAGTGATCCCTGGCAATGATGAAAATACAGAGTTATTTCCGACTGCACCCCTTGTACTCGGGAGCTTCAAGTAGGACCAAACAAGGATACATCGAGCAAGGATAAGTGCCACAGCACACAAGGGGAGCAAGCTATGTGGAAGCAAACCACATTCAACACATTCACAATTAGCATTGAATGACTTAACGCACTGTTATTTCAATACATCATGTAAGATGTCATTGTCTAAAATGCCTAAAATAAAAGATCAACTGTATAAAAAGCAAAAGCTTTCACCTTCTCTGTGATATACCCATCAACGGCCACAACACCTGGGTCCTCAAACAAAATTTCCTGTGTATAATTCTGATACAAGTGTCATTACACGTCAAAATCTTCCCCTCCATTTACTTCACTAACTGATTTGGATTGAAATAGTTATCGTTCATCGCGTCTTCCTCATTTGTGCAGTGCTGCAGGAGTTCCTCTGTAATGACCTTTAACAAGCTAAATTGGCCTTTTCCTTCCATCTTTGCTAAAGAATTAAGTTGGTTTCTTAGGAGTAGGAAAGCTGAGAGTCACACGATGTACAGAGAATTGTTATGTTGGTGTGATTGTCTGACCGTGTAGGTGGGAGTGAAAGATCTATGCACAAGTTTGTTGCTGTATTTGTCTACAATACACAGTCACTACACTTAACACCAATTACTATAAAAGCACTTTGAGAAGTTTTGCTATTCTAGGAAATATATCACATGCAAGGAATACTATTTCTCAGCTTTCTGCACTACCCGCCATTTATCCATATCTGAATTTTCACAAATTTCACAAATCAGTCGTGTCCCAAATTCCCAACATGATAAGTACACGCAACAGCTCGGGATAGAAAGCAAACACTGCGGGTCAGAAAGAAAGACCAGCTTACCATCTCGTGACATTCCCACAGCCAGACACTTCTGCAGTCGACAATGCTGGCAGCGATTTCGGCTCGTTCGGTCAATCAGGCAGTTCTTTTGTCGAGGGCAAGAGTAAGTTGCATTGCTCTGCTGGCTTCTCCTAAAGAACCCCTTGAGGATAAAAGGAAAACATTCAGAAGATCCCAAGATAAAACCAAACGGGTTGCTTGGTGATTTGGCAAAGTGATTGCCCATTTCCTGAGACCGGTGTAGCTTAATAATACTGTGTCACACAGGACTGATATGAATCGCAACAGGTTTGAAAACAGCTCTTCCAGGTTGTGTGAGGTACAGGGATACAGTGTAATTCAGAGTCTGAGTCCCCATTCATGCTACTTGTTTTGGGAGCAAATTGCTGTCAACATTGCAAAATAATTACTGCATAAGTTGGCTTGCTGCTAAAGAAGACATGCTTGGGACGTGTATTCAAGTATTTCTCATTGTATAAAATAATAAGCCCACAGCCTTGCTCAGCTATCTCAGCGAGGTGGGTAGAAACATACGATTTACAGCTTGGAAGGAGGCCATTCTGCCCATTGATCCTATTCCGTTGCTAGTTGCTCCACTGGAGCTAACTTCTCCAGCCACAATTCCTTGCTTTAGAATCATAGTCATTGGTCGCAAAACTGGTAGAGACACTCGAGATGGGCAACCATTTTAGAATTGAAGTAAGATTGTGGGGCCCATTCCTGAAGCAAAGTATGCATCAACAACAACAACAAGATTACATTTGTATAGCACCTTTCACGTCAGGAGGACGGCCCAAGGCGCTGAAGTGAATACCTGCAAATTCCACTAGCTTGAAGAGTCAAATAATAATAATCATTGCATTTGATATAGTATCTGATCACGTCTTTGAGACATCTCAAAGCACTTCACAGGTTTTTACTGGCAAGTGTAGTGACTATACATTTGTAGGCAAACGTGCCAGCCAGTTTGCACCTACAATGTCCCCCAAACAGCCATTATAGTATTATCCTGTGAAGCTTTTGGAGACATCCTTGCAACTATATTAAATGTGAGGATTATTATAGTATTAACAGCATAATTTGGGTTTCAATTACACAATAGGTTTGCTTTTATTGAACAGGTAAACATGGATTCTATTTTCCTTCTGACAATGATTTTCATTTAAAGCTTTTCCTAATGAGAATAGCGATAGATTAAAAGTAGAAAGGAAGTTTCCTAGGCTGATGACATTACCTAAATGAATAGACACTAACAACTAATTACCATACAGTCTTGCTTTAATATGCCCATATGTTTGAATTAGTTACTCACTTGCTGTTTAATTAGGAGATAAAGCAGCAGACAGCTGCCAAGATGCTTTTTTAAAGAGCAGCCTTGTGCACTTTGCCTGTGACAAGTGGGGTGGTTTATTCTTAGTACAATGTAATGATTTATGCTTTCTACTCAAGCTCTTAACAGCAAATGAAGTTCAAAACAGATAAACACAAGGTTCTGTATATAGGAAGCAAGAATGGGAGGCACGTTTACTCCATGGATGGGACAGAACTTACAGAGAGGGAAAGCTGAAAGAGATCTTAGGGTTTGTTGAATCAATGCTTGCCATGTCAAACAGAGGGAGGCAACAATAAAAAAGGCAAACAGTTTGCTGGGCTATATTGCCAAATCAATTAAGTTAAGATACCCACAAGTCCTACTCAATCTGAAGTGCTCTGGGCAGGCCAACCTAGAGTATTGTGACACAAGGACCCAGGCCCAAGAGACAGTGCAGAGGACAGGAACAAGAATAATCTCCATTTTTTGAGGAATGAGCTATGAGCATCGAGTATACAAGCTGAGGCTCTTCAGTCTTGAAACTCAATTTTTAGAAGGGACCCTATAAGATTTTAAATGGGATTGAGAGAATAAACCTAAAACATTACTTTAGGATGAATCAAGACACCAGAATAAGAGGATACAGGTTTAGAAGTGCAAAGGGTAACTTCAGGACTTACCCTAAGAAATGGTTGTTTAACCAGAAAGTAATTAATGACTGTAACAGGTTGCTAGTTGGTTGAGGCCAGAATGCCGGAACTGATTTAAAAAACTTGTGATGGGAGGGCTGAAGGGTGGCTATTCTAGATGGATGAGATCAAATGAGCCAAAGGATCGTCTTCATCTGAACCTCTCTTATGATCTTGCAAACTTATAATCTTGCAAACTACAATCTCAGCAGACCTCTGATTTCATTAAACTGTGGTGGTGTTTATACAGTCATAATAACCTCAGATCAGGATTCCTCACAGGTTTCGATAGGAGGTCCCCTGTCTGATTGCCAGCCCTCACCATTTGCGGTGTGGCAGAGATCCAAGATAAACCAACACCAACGATACTGTTGCAACAGGACACAGAGGAGCCAAACTCAACATCTGCACGTCCAACTGTTCGGGGGCAGGAAGCCAAACAAATTTTAATTCTTTATGTGTATTTAATTCTATTAAAATTACATTTCTAAAAAAAGTATTTTGCCCCATCCTAGTGTAGATGCTCAAACACAATATCCTCAGGGTAGAAATTGCCACTTGAGCTTTTTTAGCGTACTGCTCCACACAGCACCTCCCAACAACCAAATTAACTGCCAACGCTGCTCACCCTACAGAGCTGTTATCAGGGGTTATCTGTGATGCTAAGAGGTTGAATGGTTTTGTAGCTGATCATGACTTTTTTTTGTATACTTCCTCTTCTATTCCTGTTAACTGGACTGCTGGAGTGTTGAGGCCACACTCTGGTCAGGGTATCCAGAACGAGAGGGCGTGATCTTAAAATTAGAGCTAAACAAGTTAGGAATGAAACCAGGAAGCATTTTTTCACACAAAGGGTTGTCGAAATCTGGAATTCTCTCCTTCAAAAGGCTGTGGATGGTGCGTCGATTGGAATTTTCAAGTTTGAGATCAACGGATATTTGTTAGGTAAGGGTATCAAGAAATATAGAGAAAAGACAGATAAATTGACTTGGGTATAGGTCAGCTATGGTCTAATAGAATGATGGAACAGGCTTGAAGGGCTGAATGGTTGAGTAATTCAATCATGATCACTTCTCCAACTACCCCTCAATCCTCCTCTGACCCGCGACAATAAACAAGCACAGTCTGTGTGAAACTGGAGCCTAGGACACGGACACACAGTTCTCAGAAACATCCACCTCGTTGTAAAATGAATGGCAAAGTCCAATTTGTTGTCTGTGGATCAACATTAGCGCTTAGCACCAAGCCTGCACCTGCTACATCCCAAATCTATCCAACAGAAGCTCAGACTTTGTTTTCAATCCAGGCTACGCTAAAAATAATTTGTAGTGACAGACAGAATTGACTGATGTGTCACTGTGCTTGCTGTGTGCAAACATTTTCTCACAGCAACAATCAATGTCCCTGTGAGAAGCTGAGCGAGGCTCTACCCAGCAGTTAGCAGTGGGCAAAACCAGATCAGCTCTCCAGCTTTGAATGAATGGATTAATGATGCTGCCCTAACTTTGAGATTTCTCTTTAATTTGCAGTCAGCATCAGGAAGTGTCTCGGAGAGAGTGTGGCGGGCAGCTTACCTTGCAGCCTTCACATGTGATAACACCATAATGGATTCCTGATGATTTATCTCCACAGATTTTGCACGGAATAATTTCAATTTGAGCTGTAAAAGATGAAAGTAAGTGTTTAATCACATGTTACTTTAATGTCCCATAAAACATTCCCAAAGCAGTCTATGCAAGGATTATTATTGTTATTATTTTTACAGGACAAACTAATTATCTACTAAACACTGGGCCACATTAAAAATTCATTGAAATACAGCATAGGTCTCCAAAGAGCGCGGTCTAAAATTAAATGTTACACAAAATATCCGCTGACACATTATTCGAAAAGAGGAGTTTCTCCTGGTGTCCTGACCAACAAATCTACAGATAAATTGACTCAATTGGTCATTCTCTTCCTGGCTGTTTGCGGGAGGATGGTGTGAGTAAAATTGGCTGCTGTGTTGGGAGTGTGTGGCAGTAGCAGAGGGAAGCGGAATGCACGAGGCAGTGAGTGACATGGCGAGATCTGAAACAAATTAGAGATAGAGTAAATTTTTCCACTACTTCTTAATGAATTTCGTGATTAAAAAATGGATTTGCACCATGACTAAAGCAAACGCTATATTAAGTGCACATCATTACATTTGCACCCATAGTGTCAACAAGTGAAAGGACAAAGTGTAACTGCACGAGCACCAGTGATTCCACTGGCTGTTAAATGAACATTCGCACAGATGTCAGCCTCAAACTGCGGCAAACTGTCTTTCCTCAAGGATACAAGAATAAATAGAAAACAATGGATGCCTGGGTGGGATCTCAAGGCAGTTAATCTCATCAAGGAGTTTGGATAATGTTACAAACTGTGAGAGTGACGTCAGTCTATAATTCTTACCTGAAATCCCCTCGAGCAGATTACTGCTCATCACTGCCACCTTTAGAAAGCAACCTGTGGAGTTTGGCAGTGGCTTTATGTCTTGTTTTACTGGCAGCGAATGCCATAAAGGACAGGGATGGCCAGAGCACTCCATATAATGAAGCGTGCTTGCCTCTACTCTGAAGGGTTAATGAGGGCTTGATCACCGCAGAGTTACAGTGATAATATCAGGAAATATATAAAATATTTAGGGATAGGTTTCCTGTTCATCAACACTCCTAATAACTAACCTTATAGCTGCTTCCTGTGGAACAGTGAAGAACAGATCGAGTTGGGCAATTAACACAGACTCAATAGTTAAAGACTCTGAACAAGGGTCTGAGGTATTGCGTCTGTGTTAATTGCCCAACTCGATCTGTACACTCTTTTCCCTTAATTTTATTCTCTAGCTGCTCTCCTACTGTATCCCTGCTGGGGTGCAGTTCCGTGGTGAGCACATCTCTCAAGTAACTAGTCTTCAATACGTAAGCTAAAACCATAAGCATCTACAAGCCATTTTACCGTGGGAAAGGGGAGGAGTTATTCCTGGCAAGCCCATTCTTGCCCTTACCATAAATCCACAGAAGTGCATTGTCCAACACTGGGTAAATTGTAGGATTAAGATAACCTAAGTGAGTTTATTCCTTCTCTAGCCTAAGAATCATGAGGCCAATTCTAGCACTCCTCTCATCTCTGCCATAGCTGAAAGTAGCTAACTCAGAACAGACCAGAGTTTGAACCCAATCGATCAAGCCTGCTCCCCAAAAGACAATGCAACCTTGGAGAGCCTCTTCATATTTAATCATTGTACATAACTATCTGCTGACCCTCGCAGTTGAGTGAAAGTCCACAATAACTGTGTCATAATAAACCATTAATAAAAAGATGGCTATTTTTAGCAGACAGCTCATGATAGCCTCCTTACACCATTGGTATTATTCAAGCTTGGTCAGTTATACTCTACAGATGACATTTCCTAGTCCCAATGGCACACAAACAAGGTTTCCCTGTGGAATATTTGATCATTTCTGCTTATATTTTTGTCTATGACCTTCAATCCAATTTCCAAACAGGTATTTATCCAGCTCATGCTTTAAGCTGCTTTTGCTGGGAGGCTGATCTATCAACTTCTCTATTAGGAGCAAAAATATTGAATTATTATTATCAGCCTTGCAAATTCTGGATTTGTAGTTAGTTCCGAACGCACAGTTCAAACTAAATAGCTGCTCACGTTAACTCTGCCTCTCGTCCTTTACCACTCCACCTCTAAGTAACAAGCAGCCATAACAAAACACTGCCATAAGACTGAGTACTCCATTATTTAGATGCGATCCATTGCTACTAGCTAGTCTCTATGAACGCTTTTCCAAAACCACAACTTAGTTATTGCTTCTATCCTGCAAACACACAAGTGCTGAGTGACAGGTGTGCCAGAGATGCGTGGTGACACAACTTTCAATACTTTTTCAGGAATATTATGGAATTTCTGCTGAATTCGAGAGAAGGAATGGTTTGATATAAGATGAATTGTTGTGGAATTCCTTTGTTTAGGGCACTTAAATTTTAGGAATTCAAAAAATATAGCTTGGTGCTAAAATAAAAAAAATCCTTTCTCTGGAAGCCTGGATTCGCTAACCTCACTCAGTTGAAAACACAGTTTCCTTGTTATTTCACAGCAATGCGCACAAAAGGGCACAAATTATTCAAATGAAATGTTTGTCGTAGGACCAGCAAATAATTACAACCAAGTCTCCAAAAAACTGGGAACCAGTCTGAAGGCATTTTGTTCTATTGTTCAGTGGCTTGCTGAGCCACACACAAACAGTCATGACATTAATATTGTGGGATGTTTGTGCTCTCTCTCTGCACATTATAGTTTAATTACTTGCTTCATTTCGTCTGACGGGTAGCTTTACCAACGTAAGCACTCATTCATATCGCAGTCACTTCATTTCTCCTCCCCCCACCACTTCTCTCTGCTCCTTTTGTTTGTTGTAATTGCAAAGAGTGAGCAAATGGTGGCAGTGTAGCTCTGACAATAGTTCCCCCTCTGTACCTTTCACTGTTGCCAAACCAAACGATTGTCAGACAATACAAATAATCTTGGTAGTGGCTCAGCTCCAAAGCAAATGTGTCCTGGACAGGTTAAGATGCATAACAGAGACTACCATCAGGTCAGACTGCAGTTTTCATGGCATGTCCGTGCCACTAATGAATATCGTGTAACATTACACATGCTTTTTTTGCTCCGGAGGACAGAACAGCAGAGCACAGCCAGAGACAGCAGTGACAAGGACAGATGTCTCATGAATTTGACTCTGGCGTTTGTTGGGAGCGCAAGATGATTCAGATATTGTGCAGAGAAACTGATGGGCAAGTCAGATTGCCCACAGCATGATAAAAGTACCGCAACCCTGTATTCGAATATTCCACACAGGAGCGATGCCACAGCTTGGGGCAGATTACCCTGAGGAGCAGGATGGTGCTTGATGCTTCAAAACTGCAGGCTGATTTGAATTCATTTCATTTCCTCATAAGTAACAAGAATGGAATTATTCTGTTCATGTTGCTCAAAGTAGCACCTTTGCTGAAGTATGTCTTGGACTCTTCTTTCCCTATTTGGTAAGACAAGCAAACAAGTGCCCATGTGGTGATAAACAAAAGTAACTCAATTTTAAGTGTTTCAATGAAACTAATGAATGTAGTTATATTTAGAAGTTATATCGCACCAGCACCTCAGCCTCTGGCAGCATCAACCTCCATGGTTGCACACTTCAACTCACCAAGCCAGTCAGGAACCTGGGTGTCTTCTTCGACACTCAACTTTTCTTTTCTTCCCTACATCCAAGCCATGACCTCCTCTGCTTTCCCTCACCTCCGTAACAGCGCCCAACTCCGCCACTACCTCACCGCTCAGGCCACTGAAACTCTTGTTCATGCCTTCATCATTTACAGGCTCGACTATGCAAACGCCCTGCTTGTTGGCCTTCCCAACTCCTCCCTCCACAGGTTGCAGATAATCCAGAACTCTGCAGCCCGTGTCCTCTCCAGCACCGAACTCCGTGACCCCATCTCCCCCACTCTCGCCCGACTCCATTGGCTCCCTATCCTTCAGAGGATCCAGTTCAAGATCCTGCTCCTCACCTACAAAGCCCTCCATGGCCTCGCCTCATCCTACCTCTGCGACCTCCTAACCCACTACCAACCTGCCCGCTCCCTCCGTTCAGCTGGCTCCGGCTTGCTCTACATCCCCTGACCCACCTGCCCCACCATTGGCGGGAGAGCCTTCAGCCACTCTGCCCCCAACCTCTGGAATTCCATCCCCCAGTCACTCCGCCTCGCCTCCTCCTTAGCCTCCTTCAAGTCCCACCTCAAGACCCTCCTCTTCGACCATGCTATCGGTCAGCCCCCTTCCCCTCCCCTCCCTTCTCCGTCCCCGACCCCAGCTCGAGTCTGACTTCCTCCTAACATGAAAGGCGCTATACAAATGTAATCTTGTTATTATTACAGCAACAACAAATTGCATTTATATAACGACTTTCACATCGGGAGGATGTCCCAAAGCGATGGACAGTGAGGGACTTGCAAGCTGGAGATTGGAATCAGAAGGGGTGGAGAGCAAGGGGGTTGGGGGTGGGAAAGATGACTGAAGGCACAGTAGAAGAGGAAGGCCTTGAGACGGGCCTTGAACAAGGTGAGGTGGGGTGGGGGGGTTCATGTGTACTTATCATTTAATTACATGAATTGATAAGTTCACAAAACATATAATTAAATTTAGCAACCACAGCAGAATAGATCATCTGTAAGATTGGATCGGATGAAGAAGGAAGTTCAGCCCATTTGATCTCATCCTTCCAGAATACATGTCCTCTTTACTGTTTTCCCTACGCAGTCAGTCTTTAAATGAGTCGAGCGCTCTGGCCAATTATTTTGTAAAGGGCTTTGAGACATTTATTTTGAATATGAAAAGAGCTACTGTATCTAAATGTAGGTTATTAATTATTATTTTAAACCCAAACTACAAAACCAGATAAACAACTTTACACAATATTTTTCCTCAATATATCACTCTTGTTGCTTTTTGGGATTGTTTTTTCCAACAAAATTTTTTTTTCTAGTTTGGTACACAAAAGATGTTTATTCATTTATATTATTATTATTTCGGCCCTTTTATTCACTCTCTGTAGAATGGAAGTACAGCAC